GTTACTTTTTCTGTAAATAACTCTTGGAAAATATGGCAAGAAGGAGATTGGATGGAGAAGGCTGAGAGCAACTACGTCTAGTAGAAGAGCCACATTTTTTTGTTGTATGATCTCCTCTCCTCTTCTTTTGCTTTTTTTTTTTTTTAACCTAAAACTATTTTTTCTTTGATTTCAATATTTTTTGTGTGCCACTCGAATTCTTCTATCTTTATTAGAGGCCAATAAAAAAAAAGGACAGGTGATAAAGAGGACATATAAAAATCTTCAAGAAATAATTAACTCGTACATAAGGAGCTGAAAATATCTTGTTATGGAAATTTCCTTTCAAATTGACGAATTCAACTACTTACCTCGTTATCATTACCTTAATTATTGACACTTAATTTAATGTGAATTTTTGACATTAGCATAACAAAGAAATCAGATGTGTCGCAGAATTATATGATAGCTTGGACTAACGTGGCGGCTTGACATAACAATGCATGGGTTAGTCATTTGTTCATTACGTGGTGGCGTTTACTATACTTATGTATCTTTCCAATGTCCAATGGATGCATTCATGTTAATTTTCTAAAAACAAAAAGATACCCAAACAAAAATAAATAACACAATTCTCTGCTTCTTGTAGGTAAATATGGTCGTTATTTTTCATGTAATTTAAGTTCTTTTTTTTATATATACGGGAGTTGGAAAATTTACAAGATATTATGATTTAGATGAGGACTAGTCCACTACATATAATTAATGTACCAAAATATATCTATCATCACAAATAATAATAACAATTATACATATATATTGCCATGAATTATCTTAGAATATAAAAAGAGTTTTAAAAGAAATGTGGTGTTGTGGCCTTTTTTTCTTTAAAGCAATGGCTCAAGTTGTATGAACTTTCCAAGTGGTGCTTGGATGGTGGAGGAGGTTGGAATTTGGAAACGTAACCAATTATGGGACTACGATTTTTTTTCTTTCATTTTTCCTTTTAATTTTGTATACACATATACATTTATACATGTGCGTATGTTAATTACTATACAACCAAACCGAACCAAGATATATAAAACGGAACTAAGTACAGTACATACATATTATGTTTATTTGTTTCTATAAAACTAAACAAGCGAGTAAATTATAATGAACGTTGTGTATATTCATGAAGCATAACTGTATAAGTTAGATTATACAATTTAAAAAAAAATAATTGAAATTCTAAGAATAAGAAATACGTAAAATTATGTAATGGCAAGTGGCAACAAGCTCAAACCAATAATTAACGAAAATATACTCCACCAAAAAACAAAAATTAAAGAAAATATATATATGAAGATCTAGTTATTAAGTTGGTTTACAATTTTCCTTGTCTTTGTTATTAATGTATATCAACTGAACTTTTTTGATTTATGGTTTAGTATGGTTTTTCTTTCAACAATCTGAAAACCTATTTATTAATTGGGATTTTCTTATTTTTTGGTATCAGAGGATAAAACAAAGTTTGTGTTCTTTCCCACCCATTTCATCATGTGGTTATATAAAATTATATAATTTGTATGATTATACGATGATTGAAACATAGCTATGAGTCTATGTGATTTGACTCGAGAGTCTGGTGAGTCAGGTTGTTAACCACAGAAAGGAAAAGACAAATCAGAATTTGTTTTTAGCTTTTCTCCAAACAAATGAATCTAAAACGAAGAAACAATATTTATACAGAAAATAACGGAATTATTGTCAATTATTGTTTTTAGTGGGATAACTATAGATTTATTAAACATCTATAGGAGAATCTTATTTATTTGTCGTCAGCGACTACTGTAAAGAAAAAAAATAGTATAATTAACCTTGAATTTTAAATGGTATATATGTGTCTAAAGAGTGACCGAAATAACCCATAAGAAATTTAAACAATAATATATAGAGGTCAGACTAGATATTATGTAATTTGGGTTTAAATCATGATATATGTTAAGTGATGTATCTCCAAAAACTAAATCATTAACCCAAAAACAAAGTGGTCATGACATCAGGGTAATCACAAGAAGCCATTACGTAAACCTAATCTCAAAATAATTATCAAATAAACAATAAACTCAGATTGCGGTAGAGGGTGTAAACTAAGTAGTTATTAAACTGAACAATCAAACTAAACTCAAAAATTAAAGCAGTATAATAAAATTATAAGTTTGGTTATTTTCTTTCTTCTGTTGAAAAACACATGTTAGTAGATTAAATTTACCAAAATATAAACGTAGTCATATTTAAAATCCTAGAAAATTCAATATAGATTTGTTTATTGAAAAAAAAAACTCTTAACCTGACTAAACTCATGTTATTTGTGTTTTTTGTACATATTTAACGATATAATCAAAATGTTAAATCTCGAAAAGCATATATTTCAAAGGAATCAAAAGTGGGATTAGACATAGGACAAAGCTATTTAGTGGCCGAATAATAGACATATTTAGTGACTCAACCAATGTAAAGCATTTCTTAATATATATTTGTATTTAACCCACCATTATATATAATATAATATATATATATATGTATATATATATATATATATATTCACGTATTTAGACTAATTTATACACAACCATGAGTTATATTTTACCTACATTTTATTTTTTTCACTTATATGCTTACCGTAAAGAATTTCTTAATAATGAATCGTGTCCAAAATAAAATAATACATTGATCACTGACGTGTAATATAGATGATTAATAACTTTTAACCCTTGACTTTTTTTTTCAAAAGTCAAAATATACAAATACGTACGAAAATATCTTACCCTTTTCAGATAAAAGACACATGTCTTGCAAACTTCTACTTAAGTTCGAAGAAATAGTTGTCCCTTCGCGGTTTATAAACTTTATAATATCATGGCAAATATAGTTACTATGGAGTTGAATTAAGGTATAACTTTAAGAATGTTTTAATTAATTGTACTGTAAATTAAAAGAAGTGATAAAAATATTTGTATTAAAAATTGTAAGTGAATCATTAGCTTTAATTAACAGTTCTATTAGGTAAAAATAAATACTATTTAACGTACTACCAGTCTACCATTTCTTACCAATCGAAAGATCGATGTGTGTGGAAACTGGAAAACAACATAATATGTAAGAATTAATGTTTTACATGTTATATTTTAGTTAATTATTATGTAAAACCAACTAATCACATGATAGACTAACTAATCAATCAACGATTAAACGTCTAAGCTAATATTAAGCCATCTCTATATTTTTGTCGATTCGGACATTGATACCAATTTGGCAATGATCATGTGTTTTTTCACTTGGGAACGATTGTGGCATGTAACGAGTACGACAAAGCAAATGTGGCTACGTACATCTAATCTACTGGCAAACACACGAAAAGAAAAAGGTTAACTCTCTTATTATACGTATAACAAATTGACACTGCTGCATAAAGATTGCCGCCACTTGTAATGCTAACATAGCTTTCTTCTACTACCTCTCTTAATGCGTCCACACGCATAGGAGAGAGGCCTGACGTAATGAAAATGATTTCACTTTTTATGTTTTTCCCATCCGACAATACATTTTATTTTTCAAAACTATTTACTGTAAGAGAACATTAAAATAAAGTAAAAATGGGATCCCCAAAAAAAGGTGTAATTAGTTACAAGAATTTGCATTGATTAATCAAGATTTGTTTATTGCTACAATAGAAATTAAGATTCATGCACTTCATTGATTTGAACTTTAATGTTGTCGTCCCTTTGTAGTAACAGAGAATACTTTGACAAATATATATTTACTATACACATTTTCATTTTTCAACCAAATTCAAGAAGAAGAACTATGAGCTCCTATATACGTACATATGCGTAATTCAAAGAAAGATTCTATTAGATATAATATTCAGATGGTACGGACAAAATAACAATGATTAAGAAACGGCTAATTATTTTTCTTGTTGCAATAAAGAAACATGAAAATCAGGATTAAAAAGAGCTAAAGTTAAAACGGCATAATATTTGACATACACTGTCACGTGAACTAATTTGCTTGGTAACGTAAATGTAGTGAGAACTTTGCAAATCTCACTCTCTTTAAGAAAATATCTAAAGCAAATTCCAGATTGTCATCGTATAATATTTTAATGATAGAGAACAACAACTGGCTAGTGGAACTCATAAACATTGTAGTATCTTTTAATCTATATATATTTTACAGTTTATTATACACATATTCATATTACAGTTTAACATTCATGTATAGTTTAAATGCACACAAAGCTTTTAAAATATAATTCTCCCACTAAATGCCAAATTGTTTTATGCAACATAATCATTCATATTGGTCATTTGTAATTACTAAGGTTGGTTTAAATTGGTAACTCTACGATGTGACGTATGCATACAAATAAGCAAAATATGTACTAGCTTAAATTAAATAACATAATCATTACGAAAAAATATCAAAAGACCGCAACAGAACATCTTTAACATTGTACGTAAATGTGTAAGAGGATTGGTAAAAAACCACAAAATCGTACAATAATTAGGTCATTATTTATGTCATTCTCTATATAGATGCATAGGTAGAATCTAGACATAATCCTCAAATAAAAAAAGAGCTTGCCTATAAACTGAGATTGACAAGCATTATGAATACAACTAATTATGTATTATCTCTTAAGCAAAACCCCAAAAAAGTTATGTTGATAACTGAATTGTGTTCTATACGTCAAAATGTATATGATTATTTGGTAATGGTTTAGCGTGTGCATTATTGTTGTATGTCTTTTATTTTGTTATACAACTACAATGACACTAGCTAAAGCTTTTTTAATTATTATTTTTTTTTTTTTTGAAAAGAATTCGAAATATTATTGTTCACACAAACCATTTCTACTTTTTCTACCTCTCCCACACAAACCTCATTCCTCTCTTTAGCCCTAAACCCCCTATATATACGTGAAGTCCCCGAAACACTAAGCTCGTGCCATAAGCTTTTACATTAAGAGAAAAAACACTTACAAATCTCTAAGTGCTATCTCTCTTCTTCTTCCTCCTCCTTAAACAAGTTATATACACCAAAAGAAAACCATGACTCTCTTCAACACTGAGAACACATGGGCCTTTGTCTTTGGCTTGCTCGGTATGATATACTAACGTCGTTGTGTTCATTTCTTTGATCAAGTTCAGCAACCCTAATCTAAATTCCAAAATCGATTTAATTACTAACACAATAGTTTCTATATTCTTGTTATATTTTCAGGCAATGTCATCTCATTCGCCGTGTTCCTCTCTCCAGTGTAAGTAATATGTATTAAATCAGCATATATATTATATATTTATACACATATGACTAAGTTACATATCAATATATTCTCCGTTAAATAAATTAATATCGAGATTTTTTCTTGGATATGCAGGCCAACATTCTATAGGATTTGGAAGAAGAAGACAACAGAAGGGTTTCAGTCTATCCCTTATGTTGTGGCGCTCTTCAGTGCAACGCTTTGGCTTTACTATGCGACACAGAAGAAAGATGTCTTCCTCCTCGTCACCATCAACGCCTTTGGGTGCTTCATCGAAACCATCTACATCTCTATGTTCCTTGCCTACGCTCCCAAGCCTGCCCGGGTACCTAAAAATCCTAAACGCATGTGGTTACAAAAATCAAATGAAGTGTATGTGGCTAACTAAAACATTTCTTGTTGGATGATATATGCAGATGTTGACAGTGAAGATATTACTTCTTATGAACTTTGGTGGATTCTGTCTCATTCTCCTTCTTTGCCAACTCTTGTTGAAAGGAGCCACTCGTGCTAAGATTATCGGAGGGATCTGTGTCGGATTCTCTGTTTGTGTTTTCGCTGCTCCTCTAAGCATAATCGTAAGTACTTCGATTAAAGCGCTAATTAATTAACTAAGACATCATTAAACTATATATGATTTGGTTTCAATGATTAACGTTTTTTGTTTTGTTTTGTTTAAAATTTAGAGGACGGTAATAAAGACAAGGAGTGTGGAGTACATGCCCTTTAGCTTATCCTTAACCCTTACAATCAGTGCTATCATATGGTTCCTTTATGGTCTTGCTCTCAAGGACATCTATGTTGCTGTAAGCCATTTCACATCTCTCTGATTTTTGGTTGTAAAAGTGAATAGATATATCATAATTATCATGTCTTGAGGTATCATAATCATAGGTTTATCATTAATTAATTATCATAATGTATAATAGATGAAGTGGGTGCTGTTGTTTCTAATGTACCTGAGACTCTTTGAGGTTCTAATCATAGATTCACGTAGATAAAAAGAGTTATGGATTGGCAAAAGATAAACAATTAAAGAGAGCAATAACCTTTTGTTTGGTATATTGTCCTTTACGATTAAAACTATAAAAACAAATTATAAAGAGACTCGCTTTATGTTCCACAGAAACATTAAAAAGATTTTTGCTTTTGCAAAAGAAATTTATTAGATATTAAGTTCTTTTTATCTTTATATTGTTACACAGAAATTATATTTTGTACGTAACTTCTATCGATGCCGCACAAGTTTGCCATAAACTTTATTTTCCTTTTTATTGAACGTACTTTATTCATAAGCTAGAAAGCATGAAAAGTGAGAATATTAAATAAATTTTATCGAGTTCTTTTGCCACTAATTGAATAATAAAACATATTTGTCTTCTTCACAGTTCCCTAACGTGCTTGGCTTTGCTCTCGGTGCACTCCAAATGATACTCTACGTTGTCTACAAGTACTGCAAAACGTCGCCGCATCCGCATCTAGGAGAGAAAGAAGTAGAAGCTGCAAAGTTACCAGAGGTGGTGACCCTCGACATGCTGAAGCTAGGCGCAGTAGCATCACCTGACCCAGGACATGTCGTTCGTCAATGCAACAAGTGCACCTGCGGCAATGATCGAAGGGTGGCTGAGATTGAAGATGGACGTCAGACCCCTAGAAACAGCTCTTCAGCAGCAGCTACATGAATAAATAAATAAACATATACGTTTGACCATGCATGCAACGTTGTTGACTTTACGTACACACACCCCCCGACTTGATATACCAAACCACCACGTGTACCCCGTTACGCTGTCGTATTTTTCTGAGTTTATCAAGTGTGCGAAGTAGAGAGAGTTTTAGGTTTCCGGGATGATGATGATATATATATGCATTTTCGGATGTTATATGTATATGTTTTGTTTTCCGGAGTTAAAATTTCTCTTTTACTTCTTTTTAAAATTTCATGTAATTATCTATTGGGGATATGTATATTTCCTATTTTCTGATTTAACGAAAACTATTTAAAATATATCCTTCATATTTTCTGTCTTTTTTTTTTTCTTTCTTATACTTAATAAAATGTTTGATGCTTATTTTAAGGGTAATCATATCACAATATATACGATCAAAAAAATTTTCTACATGTGAATTAACAAGAATATCGACTCAAAAAAAAAAAAAAAACAAGAATCTGTATATGTATAAATACTCAGTGGGCCAAATATTTATGTTGGATCACGTCCTTACTAAGGCCTTTCCAGTTTCGAATATTTCCAATGATTTCTCAATTAAGTCCGAACTATAAAGAAACTTGTGGTAAATCTTTAATGTTATTGTGTCATGTATTGTTGGTTAACCCCGGTTTATTACTCGGTTTAAAGAATTGCATAGTAGGCTCCAGTTCTCCATCTATCTACCAACAATTATAAAGCTCACTCACTCACTACACAAGAGGTCTCATATGTTCAAATGAGAACACGCCAAAAAAAACATTCATGGTTCTCTCGAGTCTCGAAGCTTAGAAAGCATTTTAGATCCGACTTAGAACCTTCTCGGCCGCTGCGATAGTGAATTGGATGTCTTCTGAAGTGTGAGCCAAGCTTGTAAAACCGGCCTCGAATTGAGAAGGTGCCAAGTAGACCCCTTCTTCCAGCATTCCTCTGAAAAACTTTCCAAACTTCTCTGTATCACTCTTCTTGGCGTCCGAGAAATCGTAGACGGGTCCTTCGGTAAAGAAGAAACCGAACATCCCGCTTATGTAACCACCACACATCGCATGCCCGGTTTTCTTCCCGGCTTCTAGTATCCCATTTGTTAGCTCTTTCGTGATCTTGTCCAAGTATTCATATGTCCCAGGCTGACTTAACCGCTTCAGCGTGTGAATACCTGCAGTCATAGCCAGCGGATTACCACTTAGCGTACCAGCTTGATACATCGGTCCTGCTGGTGCAACCTGCAAAAAGACATGAATGTTCAAAGCTCAGGACGTTCTCCTTCTCTTGCAACAAACTCAAAAGATTGCTCGGTTCAATTTACCATTTCCATAATGTCTCGCCTTCCACCGTATGCTCCCACGGGAAGACCACCACCGATGATTTTCCCAAGAGTTGTTAAGTCAGGTGTGATTCCAAAGTATTCTTGAGCTCCACCATAGGCTAAACGAAAACCAGTCATGACTTCATCGAAAATAAGAAGAGCACCATTGTCTTTACTAATCCGGCGTAATCCATCAATGAACTCTGGTTTTGGTGTAATAAAACCCGAGTTACCAACAACAGGTTCAAGAATGATGGCAGCAATCTCGCCTTTGTTTGCCTCAAAGAGCTTCTCAACAGCAGCAATATCATTGTATGGAGCTGTTAGAGTATCTGAAGTAGCTGATTTGGGGACACCAGGCGAGTCAGGTAGACCCAAAGTAGCTACTCCACTACCTGCTTTGACAAGGAAAGAGTTTGCATGACCATGATAACAACCTTCAAACTTGATGAACTTTTGTTTCCCTGTGAAGGCACGAGCAAGACGTAGCACGCCCATACATGCCTCAGTACCCGAGTTAACAAACCGAACCATTTCAATGCTTGGAACAGCTGATATCACCATCTCCGCAAGGACATTCTCTAAGAGACAAGGAGCACCAAAGCTTGTTCCTTTCTTCATTGTCTCAGCCAAAGCTGCAAGAACCTGCACTAGACACAAAACTACATCAAAATGCTAAATCATCAGCCATCTTGAAACCATCAAAACAAGAAAAGAAACACACCTCATCATCAGCATGACCAATTATAGCTGGTCCCCAAGAACCAACATAGTCAATGTACTCATTTCCATCAATGTCCCGTATTCGTGAACCCTTAGCAGAATCCATCACAACTGGTTGCCCTCCCACTGATTTGAACGCTCTGACAGGTGAGTTCACACCACCAGGCATTAAATTCTACACAAAAGAACCAACCAGTTTCAGTAATCATAACACAATGAAACAAAAAAAAAACAAACTTTATCTCAGATTTTGATTCAATCTCATGTTGATGGCAATTTCCCTTGAAGGGTGACAAAGATAATCAATTTAACCAAAAATATGATCTAATTCCCCAAAATTCAAAACAACGGGACATCAATGGCATTCACGGAAATTGAAAGGCCTAACCTTGGCAGCATTGAAAGCTTCCTCAGATTTCTGAAGAGTGAAGTTCTTCGTCTTCTCTTCTACCGAAACGGACATCTTGATGCAGCTACGGCTGGACGAAGAAGAAGCTCTCTTAGAGAACTTTGCGGAACACGAAAACCCTAGAGCAATCCCTGATCCTGTAAGCGTCGCTGCCATTGTTGTTGCTATGTCTCTCTGTTCCTCTTACACTTGAGTGTCTTTTGCGACAGAGATAGTCAACAAGATAAGGCGGAGATTGATCTTAAGATTTTTGATGGAGCCAAACCCGGTGGTTTAAATTTAAACCCGATCAGGTTATATTAGACCCGGTTCAATTTTTGTTTCTTTGGCTATTGTTTTTTCTTTTTCTTAATTTGACCCTTAAAAAAAGTACATAAATATTTTGTAATCGATACAAACGAGAAATCAAACTTACATGAATAAATAATGATTTTTTATCATCATATTTTTTTTTGTTTATAAATCGTATAGAAGAAACACATAATATGATTATGAAATAGAGTGTAATATAAATGGTTGTGATTTTTAGATCTTCATAAGCTCTTCAAAGACTTGCATAGCAGAAGCAGGAAGGCCAAGAAACACGTTGATACTCTTCATATCGTTACCACTTGGTAAGAACAAAATCACTTCCCTCCCAGGTAAACCAAACGGTCCAGATAAAACCGGTTCTCCCCAACCGAAATCCAGTTTATGGAATGTCAATTTTGACCAAGACGTGATCAATAGCGTAGCGTTCAAACTCGGCCTGGTCCGGTTCACCTCGAAGTAATCCATAGCTGACCTCATGAAACCGTCCGTAACCGACTCGACCAGTCTCTTGACCAAACCTACAGAATGAGAAAGAGGGTTCGCAACCAAATCTCCCGATGACGTCACCAAACCGGTTAACACTATCCCGTTGCCGCAATATCCTACCGGGAGAGGCGGGACGAATCTCGACCGTCCATCAGCCGCAAACAGAAGCTTAACCCGTTGGTCCGGTTTAAACCGTAGAGCCTCGCATCTTGATTTCCAAAGAAACCCGGTTAAGGCTTGGAATGTTGATACCTTATTATTGCTATCATCTTCCGTTGCCTTGGTCTTGAGCTTATCTAGCATTTCGGGTTTGAAGAGGAAAGATTTGTAGACTAGCTTTTCTTCGTCGTAGAGCTTTCCAGTCTCGGAGATGTCTTCGATTTCGTCGAACTCGTTATGGGGGAACTCGATTTTAGGCGGGTTTCGTGGCCGGAGAATAGTACGGTCCAAAAACGGCGGGAGGGATAAAGGGAGGCCCTTGGCCGTCTCGCACCACGAGTTGAGGAATTCCATAGCGGCAACTCCATCGAACATGTTGTGGCTCATGCCTAGTCCTAGGACAAAACCGCCACATTTTAAATTTGTTACCTAAGAAAAGAAAAGTGAACACAAAACATTAGAAATTTATGTAATAAATGTTAAAGAACCAAAAATAAAATCATACAACATTCTATAATAATTGATAGCTATTAGACGTTGTAAGTAGACTTTATGTAGTTAGCTTTATTAATTAATTACGCATGATTATAGTTAGATTTAGATAGTGTATGATGTACGTACTTTAGTTTTGAACATGATGAGAGTGACCGTGCCTTACTACGATTCACTATATCTAAAAGGGTAAGCATATGTTTAACTATTCAAATTAAAATTTTAGTTTTGCAGAAAAGGTATTTTTGTCATATAGTGTCAATAAATACTTAGATTTGATATTCCTGTTTTCTACATTTGGACAAAAGCATGTGACTGTTGATAGTGATGCATGAACTGATGATATACGAATCGATAAACTTAATTCTGACATTAAATACGATCCTTTATATCAAGTCACTAAAATAAAAATATGACTCCCATGCAAACATTAAATACGATCATTAGCTGCCTGCTAAGCATGTCACTATCGTTGTAAATACCTAGCTGGCTAGCTCGAAGCAACATTTTCCGACAAAACCTAAACTAATTATGCGAGCTAATCAAAAACATATATATTAATCATTAAGCAAGAGATCGATCTAAATTAAAACTTACCTGAGCTACAACGGGCGGAATCTCAAGAATATTCCGGGCATCGGGAACGTCGTAAACAAGTTTCTCGAGCATCTCCATTCTATTCTCAGAGATGGCCTCTTTGATCGTCTCTATGCCACAGTTGGCCTCAGCTTCCACAACCACTACTCCTTCTCCAGTGCAATTCACGGCGATCTTCCCTTCCGGACTGATCGTTAGCCTTCCGGCCACAGGGTAGTAATGAACAAGAACCTCTGACAGAGATTTCTTGATCACATTGTATGATTCTTGGTTGGTTCTTGACCCCGATTTGTAATAATATAATGTTTTCACGATGATGGCGATGTTTTGATCGAGATTTGAAAGATAGTAGAAACCCTTTGGAGTTTCGGACACGGGAGGGACGAGTTCAGAGCTTTTCCTAGTGACGACGAACTCAAATGGGTCGGCCATTTCAAGAGTCTTCGATGAAATAAACCGCAAAACGTTCGAATGAAGTGTGTGTGGAGATTAGGGCTAGTGGTACCTTGAGTAGCAAGTGTATATAGAGCTGTATAGATAAGGCAGAAAGCTTAAGGACGTACCAGTCGAGTTTTTTGAACAGAATGTATTGAAAAAGTGAAAAAGCATAGAATATATAAAGTTTACGTAATATAAGGTTTTTATGAGGGGGCAATTAACTGAAGATAAGGGTTTAGATATATAACAAGTGAAGATTCATGTAGCTTCATATATGAGGAGGTGAATACTAAATAAGTAAATAAGAACCACGAAAGCTTTGGCTACGTATACTTTAAGACAGGGCATGGACAGCAGATTGAATAAATACATTTATTTATGGGGTAATTGGTTGGTTGATCGATAAGATCGTGATATCTAACCATATTTGATGTTACGGCCTAAGGGTCCATTAATTTGTCACAAATGTAAAACTTGGATGTTTTCTATATGTAATGATGAGAGTTTTTATTAGGTTCGAAACCATTTTTTCGATAAAGAAAGAATAGAACAATACTTGGGTTCACTCTAGTGATGAACCTACATATTCACCCTCTCTTAGCTTAACCAATAAAATTAGCTTAAAAATAAAAATAAATAAAATAAAAATATTATAGAAACAAAATCTGTATAAATATAATCACTTTTTTTATTAACCAAACCGATATTTAATTTTGTTTTAGTTGTAAACTCTAAACCCTAACCACTCTTTTATAAATTTAAATCGATATATAATTTTGTTTTAATTGTAAAATATAAACTCTAATTCTCTTTTATAAACCCAAACCGATATATAATTTCATTTAATTGTAAAATCCAAACCCTAATGTTTATTTATAAATCCAAACCAAAATATAATTACGTTTATTTATAAAAATTAAACCCTAATCTTCCTTTATAAACCCAAACCGATATATAATTTTGTTTAATTGTAAAATATAAACTCTAATCCGTCTTTAATAAACTCAAACCGACATATATTTTTTTAAAGAAAAAGTCTACAGATTTTATTTCCTTAATTTGTTTTATTTTACTGATTTTAGTTTTGATTTAATTTTTAAATATAATATGATGTGGCATATTCTCTAATCTTATTGGTTAAATCGAGACGGGTGAATATATATATGTTCACTACTAGGGGTGAACCCAAGTATTTTTTGATTGAATATCCTTTTAATTATTAGTTTCCTGTTTTTTTCACAAACCAAAATCATGCACAGAAAAAAAATTGCAAACTCATTAAAAAAAAAAGATAAAAAAGATAATTACCAAAAGAAAAATTTATCCTTTACCAAAAAAGAAAAGGAAAATTCTAAGATATATGATAAGCATGGATCGATAGATAAAAGCAAACTTTAATCAGGACTTTATATATGTATGAAAATTATATAGAAAAATCAAAGGGAAATAATTAAGAAAGTAGCAAGAGAGATGGTATCGTTGAGGAAGCGAAAGAGAGCTTCGAAGTGGATCAAAAGAAAAAAAGGAGTAAGTGATGATTATGATGTTGATCATATCAATGGTGACAATGCAACAAACAACAATAGAAATATCATCGATGGTTTACCTGAGAGCTTGCTAATGGTCGAGATTTTCTCCAAGCTAAGGAACCCTAGAGATGTTATTGCATGCAAAAGCGTGAACAGACGATGGAGATGTCTGTTATCTTCTTCTTCTTCTTCTTTCCATCACAACCCAAGCTTGGCTTTGATCCTCAACACACAACCTCAAGTACTTGCTACAAACGACACATGTGTAGAGAGTTGGGAAGGATTCGAGTTAAGCAACTATATCGATCCCTATTTCGACTATCCACTTTGTGTTCTAGCGTCGTACAATGATGTCTTGTTATGCATGAAGAAGAGATCATCCGTTAAGAGGTGGCGAACACATTCACAGTTATACATTGTTAATCCCTTGACGATGCAATGGACTCGTCTTCCAAAATTTGTTGATAGCATCTCAGATGATATCGCAAAGTTTCCAATAGGGCTAACAGGGAATCGGTCAAAGGGCACGTACTACGTTGTCATGTTGTCTGTTTCTAAACCTTCCCTGCTTAATGTTTGTGTGTTCGACACAAAAATCGGCAGATGGATATATGATTATGTCGAACATCCCCGCTGGTCACCAGCCGGATGGTCTCCAACGCATTACCAAGCCTTGACTTTTAACGGAGATTTGCATTGGTTAGCCGAGGACGGACCTATAGTAGCTTATAACCCTAACCATATGCGCAAATGCGTCTTCATCCATCGTTCCCAAGAGATGCGTCATGCTTCTTACGGTGGCGGTGCGGTTGTTTCTGAGAGTTTAACCGTCTCCATGGGTCATCTACGCATCATTCAACTCGTTTGCTTTAAAGATCCTGCAGGTGAGTACGTACCATATGCATTATAGTCTATATATTCGTGATAAAATAGACTCTTCTTAATAATATATATTCTTTTTCTTTTGTAGATGATCACCACCATCTCTGTATTTGGACACTCGTGGATTACAAACAATTCACATGGAAAAAAGAGCATGAGCCTATCTACTTCAGAGACATGGTTTCCGATATTCCATGGATACAAGAGTGCATGCAGAGATATGTTGTCAACACAACAACAAACCAAGACAATGCGCCCATCATCATGACATACTACAAGGACCCTGAAGATTATTTGGACGATGAGTATCAGCCTCCAGAAACCAGAGAACGGATTGTTTGTACAAGGCCTTTAGTTTGTCATCCAAGCAATCCTCTTCTTGTTTACTTGTATATACGTGAAAGCAGCATTGTCTCTCTTGATGCCAAACAAAGAAGCTACGGCTTATCACCAGCGACAAGGAAAGAGGCAGCTCTTACAGCTGGAACCACTATGACAAGGTGATACCAATGACACTTCACTTCAATCCCACTTTCATCCCTCAACACGAGCATGTACTGCTCCCATATGCACGTGGTAATCATTAAGCACACATTTGGTTAGGTTTTGTTTTTTGGAATTTTTAGAGCTTTGAGACATGAAAACCAGTATTTTCTCCTTTTGTCTCCTTTTTTATCTTCCTCATTTTCATCCACTATAATATATACAATTTGTTTTGTTTTTTAAAAGATTTTTTCTGTTTTTAACCACCTCCATTGTAGATGCTCCTTACAATCTCTACAATCTACATCACCTAAGAAACTACACTAATATATCAAATATATTTCTCTCTTGAATTAGAGTAACTTACTGAGTATATAGTTTATTTTGAAATACCGATCGATTAAATAAAATAATAGAGAGCTCTTTTACACTAAAAGCAAATATAAATATATATTGGTCGTCAAACATTGGAAGTAGAGAAAGAAAGAAGTGGAAGCCTAATAATTAGAGAAACGTAACAGATTGTGTTTAATTTCATTTATTTTGTGTCATTGGTCATATATGATTGGTTTATATTTCATGTAAAACTTTTTATGATATAATATATTTGATTTGTAGAAAAGAAAAAAAAAACCTAATAATGAAAAAAGTTTTAGAAAAAGGTTATTAACAAAAATTACAACGGCTCCACAATATACAATAAAACCTCTATAAATTAATAATTTTGGAAATAAAATATTTTATCATTTTTTAATGAATTATATTTATTTGTTTATAGAGTAAATTAATTTATAATGGTATTTTTAATTGTTAAAAAAATTGAAAATATAAATTAGGATAATTTTACAAAAATAAGATTTTTAGATATTATAAATAAAATTCACTTATACAAATATCAAAAGTTGGATGTTTTCTATATGGAAATTAATCCTCTGATGATTTGATCACGTCAGAGTGCAGCGTAATGCAAAATTAGAAGTTTGACACCGACTTTTCAAATTTGTACGCATTTCTTTATAACTTGATTCCATTGACCAAGACGACACGTACATTGTTAAACTTATTAACAAAAGTAACAACGGCTACACAATATATTTTATTTTACTCATAATCGGGCGACGTGTTGAAGCATACACGGCTGCGCTTGCCACGTCTCCACCGTGTAACTATCTCCTTCCTTCCGTTAAGTAAAGCCGATGTTACCATCTCTTCTCTCCGTTATCACCGAAGAATGGCCGCAACTAGCATCAGGAAGCTCCCATCTCTCTCCGGCCTCCATCACCGCCGTAATCCACTTGATGAAAACCCCTTCTTCCGCCCCTCCGATGGCTTCTACATCAATCCTTCTGACGTCATCCTCTCCCAAGTCGCTTACGACTTCTCCGCCCAATCCCAATCCCGCTTCGCCTACCACAGGGCTGGACCTCGCCGGGAGATCATGTACGAGCCCTCGGATGTAAAAGCAGCGATCGTGACGTGCGGAGGGCTGTGCCCGGGGATGAACACTGTCATAAGAGAGCTCGTGGTTGGTCTATGGGAGCTGTACGGTGTCAAAGAGATTTATGGCATACCAGCTGGTTACAGAGGCTTTTACTCCATGGAAGCCGTCAAGTTGAATCCCAAGATCGTTCATGATTGGCACAAGAAAGGTGGCACTGTCCTCGCCACTTCCCGAGGTGGCTTTCACCTCAACAAGATCGTCGATGCCATCCAACTCAACGGTTACAACCAGGTCTTGTTATGATGTTACAGTGTGTTCTTGTTCTTGTTGTTCTGTTTAGGTGAAGTTTGCGTTTGAACGAATCCTCTGTTTTTGTCCTCATCATCAGGTGTATATAATAGGAGGAGACGGCACAATGCGTGGAGCTGTCGAGATCTTCAAGGAAGTAAGCCGCAGGAAACTGGAGGTAGGAATTACAGGTATTCCGAAAACCGTGGATAATGATGTCGGTATCATTGATAGATCGTTCGGGTTTCAAACGGCTGTAGAGATGGCTCAGGGGGCTATATCTGCTGCTCACGTGGAGGCTGAGAGCGCGGTCAATGGCATTGGACTAGTGAAGCTCATGGGAAGAAGTACTGGCCACATTGCTTTGCACGCCACACTTAGCAGTCGTGATGTAGATTGTTGTTTGATCCCGGAAATGGACTTCTACCTTGAAGGCAAGGGAGGGCTGTTTGAGTTTCTTGAAAAGAGAATAAGAGAACGTGGCCATGCTGTGCTTGTTGTGGCTGAAGGTGCAGGGCAAGAGATGATCCCAAGAAATGAATCACAGAAACAAGAGAGGGATGAATCTGGCAACTTAGTTTTCTTGGATGTGGGATCCTGGTTTAAGTCAGTGCTCAAGGAATGGTGGGGGAGAGAGCATCCAGACGAGCTGTTCACGGTCAAGTATATCGATCCGACTTACATGATAAGAGCTGTACCTGCAAATGCTACGGATAACTTGTATTGTACACTCTTGGCCCACTCGGCTATCCATGGAGTCATGGCTGGTTACACAGGGTTCGTGCCAGGTCCGATCAATGGGAACTATGCTTATATCCCCTTAGAGGAAGTGGCACAGAGTAAGAATGAAGTGAACACGAGCGACCACAAGTGGGCATGGGTTCGTTCCGTCACAAATCAACCTGATTTTGAAACAAAAGTTTAAGGGGCGATCACCGCGAGACCTTCGAGAAGATTAGAATGAGACCGTGAAGCGTAAAAGTTATAATCTTATGTATCTTATGTATATGATCAAGCAACGCTATCTATAGTTTGCATGATCCTGCGGTATCTATATATACACACATGTCTTTATCTAAGATAACAGTAATATTCAACTTTGTCTTTGTCTAGGAATGTAACTACTAGACATACCCACGAAGAAGAAGAAAAGATTGGAAGTCCTTACAAATACATCTCAAATTAACTCAAACGTATCCAATCATACAATTATTAAATAAAAAGTTAGAAACTTAACAGCTACACTACACAAGTGGGACGAACATGATGATGATACTACATGAGCCTAACAGATTACATAATACACCAAACATACAACAAACAAATCCCATTCTGTAAATCCCTCCTATGATATCACACATGAAGGTTAAGTTATACTACCGTCTTCTCGGTTATGTTTTTTTCTTACTTTCATAGGCTGATTCGCAGAAAAGAGAAGACATACAAAACTATCACTTTCTCACTTTGTCTCATGCTCTGTGTTTTCCTCTTTCTCATCATCATCACTCATTTCGTTAATGGCATCTGTAATGATATCCTTCACCTCCGCTTTTCTATGCATAAGATCAACTCCAAAATGGCTCCCTGATATTTTCACAACCAGCAAAAATATGTATCAATTAAAAAAAGTTACCTGCAAATTTTGAAGAGATAACAATTACGGATTGACTGAAGGGAACAGCTTTACAGAAACATACCAAGCTTCCGCAGAATATCAGATAGAGTTGCCTGTTTGGAAACAAAATTCAGAATGTCCTGAGTTCAAAATTTTGGTAAAAGGTTTGCAATCTTTTAAATCTCAATCTATTGAAGTCTCACCGTATTGAAGTCTACTTCTTTCAGAATTTTGGCCACCACTACATGAAGTTCTTTTCTTGTGGGTTCTTTTTTACCTTTCTTGTGAGATTTTCCTGTAACCACATACAATGAAATAGAGATTCAATAAACCTTCAAAATTTGATATATTAAGCCTTTAAGAGAACTGATAAATTGTTCAAACCTTGATCTTTGGATCCCTTTGCCTGTGGTTTACTTGTTCCGTTCTTGCTTTTCTTTTCAGAGGAATCATCTTTATCAACCTTTTGCTTTTTGTTTGACGATGAAGCTGACTTATCGACTTGTTTGGAGGACTTTCGACTAGAATTTTCAGAACCTTTAAGAGATTTCTCCTCTTCAGCTGCTGGTTTCTCCTTCTTGGTCTTTTTTGACAAGCTTTTCTTATCGGTTGACTTTTCCTTCTCCTTAGTTTTATCTTTCTCGTCTTCAGTTTCAGTATCTTCATTTTTGTTGTTTTCTTCCTCTGGAGCTACATCATCTTCTCTATGAGAGTCATTTGTTCCTTCAGAGCCAACATCGGCCTCACCATTTCCTTCTTCAGTTTCAGTTGGCTGATCTTGATTCATTCCAGATTTTTTCGTCTCCCTTCTCTTCTGTATATACCAAACATAAAAAGACACTGATTATTTATGCAAAACTCCCGTCAAAGGCTTATAAAATCAAGTCAAAGGCAGAGAAAGAGGCTTTCATGAAAATGCTCAACTTTTAGCTTCCAGAAATCTACACATTTTATTTTTTCTCGAAGAGCCAATATCACACAAGGAGCTAAATGGGGAAAAACTAAACAACCAGAACATGGGAATTGCATTGCGTAGATGAAAAAACGAAAAACGGCTAGGTAATAAACTGGTCATGAGATGTATAAAAGAAAAAAAAAAACTCACTGAGGTGCCTAATACCTTTCCTAAATAAAAACTATCGAATATAAATATAACTAATCTTGGATTTGCTACTATTCCCAATTTTTCCCATTATAGTATCACACATTGCTTAATAATTACAGCAAACCAAATAGTTCGTACAACTAATAAATTATGAAATAAAAGAAAATCAGAGTATGTAAAATTGCAGTCCTAGGTGAAGTTCTGAGTTCAATAATTCGATAAGGGAGCGCAGAAAAAGCTATTCATATCATAAAGATCGCATGCTTCATTATAGTAACAAACAAGAAAAGAGGCTGCTTTTACCAGCCGGGAGCTAAATAAACAGATTATGTTAATGATTTAAAATTAAAATTACAAACCTTGGCTGGGACGTCTGATGATTCTTCAGAATTCACATTCTTTGGCGTGCTCTTCTTGCGCTTTTTAGTTTCCTATATTATGTATTCAAAGAAAAGAGAAAACAAAACAAACACCCGTATAAATTAAACACAATGGAGAATAGTAATCAGATTCAGCTGCTGTTTTTTTTTTTTTTTTGGACAAACAATCAGGTTCAGCTGCTAGGTTAGGTTGGAGTACCTTTTCATTATCAGCTAGTACAATATCTCTTGTTGCCTTGGGATGTACCAAAAATTCAAGCACTCTTACAGCAAGTTCATCCTGACGGTACCAGAAAAGATGTATGAATATAAAATCGACCAGGACACAAACAGATAGAAAGATAGACCAAATTTTTTAATCACTTACTTTTTTCACGTTGCTTTTGTTGATGGGTATATCAAGCACATCACAGAAATCAATCAACTTTTCTTTGATACATTTCTCAAGCTTCTCCTTTGTTCTTGCTCTTAGCTTCTCCTCCTGGAGAACAAACAAGATATCACTCTCAAAACCAAGCTGGTCATCATCATACACGCCCCTGAAACTATATTAATCTACAAACAAATTATTACCTCTTGCTCTGACCATACAAAACCCGAAAACTGACCAATGTTTTTCTTCAGCATCTGTGCCTGCACAGCATTATTTCACACAACCCTTGAGTGATCATGCACTCTGGCAAAAGAGAAAAAAAACATCGAAATTCCAAAACAGCATTCAAATCAAATAAACAGGAACGAAAGCTTCAAACAGGAATGTACATATAGAATGAGACAATCCAAAATCAAACAATCAAAAGCACCTTTCCTTTCTTGCCATAGAGAATGGTGTGAAGTAAGAAGAGATTGTCATCAGGCTTTCTCTTAGATAGTTTATAAGCCACTGAAAGACACAGTTCAACACCACATTCAGTATAAGTCAGAAAAAAAGAAGCAAACATTACTTTGACAACAGAACTAGACGCGAATAACAACTCGAAATCTAGCAATTAAGGTAAACAAAATCCAAATCACCAACGAAAGGTGTTAAATTGAATTACATACCATTTGGAATTTCTTTAAGCCGTGTTCCACGACCCTAAAAGAACCAAAAAACGAAACCCCAAAACTAGTCAATTGTTTCAATTTCTGGAAAATTCTCAATAAGCACAAGAAGGAAGCAAAGTTGGCATCTTTATGTATATACCTGCTCAATAGACAAAGGCTTGTTCCCGGAGGATCGAGAAAGAGGAGTAGCAGTAGTATCCAAAATGTAACGCTCAGTCCTCTTTCTCTCCCTTGTAGGTCTCTCACTGACTGGAGTCACCGGCGATTTAACTCCTTCTCCACCATTTTCTTCTTTTGCTTTCTCCTTCATGGCTTCGTCTTTTGCTTCATCTTTCTTCTTCTCTGTATCTTCCTTCACGGAATCAGAAACACCATCTTCTTCCGTGGACGGAGAATTACCAGCTAACTCCGGTGTCTTCAATTTTAGGGTTTCAGTCGCCATGTGAAGACGACTAAACTAAACACAGTGTAGAAAACGAGAAAAGATGAAGAAAAAATGGAGAATCGAATTAAAGAGTAAAAAAAGCAAAACCTAAATTTCTGAGCTTTTGGGATAAATTCGAGAAAAAAAAGGTTAAGTAAGAAATTGGGGAATTTTAAAAATTTTGGTGGTAAAAAAATGAAACACAGAGGCGGGGGGATTTTTCACCAATCAATTTTCACACGGAACTCAATTTTGAAAAAAGGCGTTCACGTTTTGAGGTGCGTTTCATTTGTCCACGTTTTGGAGGTGCGTTTCAAACGCTGATTTTATTCTCCTCTAGTAAAACTGGTAAAATTGATTGCTTACTTTTAGTGGTTGGTTACCAAAAAAAACAAAATAGTTCCCTTTTATGATGTCTAGGATTGAGATTTACGTTATCTGCTTTATAGACCAAAATCTTCTAGTCACATGCAAAAGCAATTGCTTCAACAGCTACATCTCCTCTGTTTAAAACCCTTCATCGACCAAACGTTATATATATAATGCAGACCCATACAATAAGCTGACATCTACTTTGTTTTGTGTGGCAACTGGCAAATAATACAATACAGAGTAAAAAGACAATATTTCTCAATTCCCATTATTATAACTTTATAAGGGATATCTCTGTCTCACACAACCACACACTCTCAAGTCTCAGTCTCAACCAAAACATGGATTCTGAGATCGCGGCCGACTTCTCTCCGATGCTCATAATCTACAAGAGTGGCCGCGTCGAGCGACTCATGGGTGAAACCACCGTCCCACCTTCTTCCATCCCACAAAACGGTGTCGTGTCCAAGGACGTCGTTTATTCTCCACACGACAACCTCTCCCTCCGCGTTTACCTCCCGGAGAAAGCCGCCGAGACCCGTGAGAAACTCCCTCTCCTCGTCTACTTCCACGGTGGAGGATTCGTCATTGAAACCGCTTTCTCCCCGACTTACCAGACCTTCCTCAAGGCTGCTGTCTCTGCCTCGGACTGTGTAGCTGTCTCTGTTGATTACCGGCGTGCACCGGAGCATCCGATCCCGACGTCTTACGATGATTCCTGGACAGCTCTCAAATGGGTTTTCTCCCACGTCGCCGGGTATGGTCAAGAAGATTGGTTGAACAAACACGCCGACTTCAGCAAAGTGTTCATCGCCGGAGATAGCGCCGGAGCCAACATAACGCATCACATGGCTATGAGAGCTGCGAAAGAGACACTCAGTCCCGGTTTGAATGATTCAGGAATCTCCGGAATCATCTTGGTTCATCCTTACTTCTGGTCAAAAACGCCACTCGACGACAAGGAGACAACGGATGTAGCAAGAAGGACGTGGCTCGAGTCGGTTTGGAAGTTGGCTAATCCCACAAGCAAAGATGGATTGGATGATCCGTACATCAACGTGGTGCAATCAGAGTTGGTAGATATTTCCGGGCTGGGCTGCGGAAGGGTTTTGGTTATGGTGGCTGAGAAAGACACCTTGTGCAGACAAGGTTGGGGTTACGCGGCTAAGCTTGATAAGAGCCGTTGGAACGGAGAAGTGGAAGTGATGGAGACTAAAGGAGAAACTCATGTTTTTCATTTGAAGGATCCTAGTTCTGAAAAGGCTCATGAACTCGTGCACAGATTCGCTGGGTTTATCATGGGAGACAAGTAACTTGGTGTTTTCCGAGAGGTATTGAATAATCCGGTTTTTGAGTTGTGTCTCTCACTCTTTCCGTGATAATAATGTTGCTTACTAAACATGTTTAATTATGCTATTTCAGTAATACTTTTCCATGAAACAAAACAAGTTGGTAAATGTGAGATAAGGGACTCTCAAACCAATTTATGTTGAATAAATGGTAGTGGTACCATACTTAATGAATTTACATAATTTTAAAAAAACTAAAAAAAAAAACCGGAACCAAAATGAATATTCAAAGATATATTTTGTAGGAAGAAATTGACAAAAATGGATAAAAAAGATGCACCCGTAGAATAACATGTATCACCAACTCAACAACTTTACATGTGTGCTTTGAATTGTCTGGCAAAGATATCTTCCGAGTAAACAAATCACAATGACACAACTCACGTGTCTCAACCATACCAAAAATTATTCAATAGAGTCCTTAAAGTTTCCACCATAGTCAATATAAAATCTCTCTCGCTCACTCTGACACACACACACACACCTATCAAACCAATCTTATCGTATCTCACCGACCAAACCAATCATGGATTCCGAGATCGCCCTCGACTTCTCTCCGGTGCTCAAAATCTACAAGAGTGGCCGCATCGAGCGACTCATGGGCGAAACCACCGTCCCACCTTCTTCCGAGCCACAAAACGGTGTCGTTTCCAAAGACGTCCTTTATTCTCCCGACAACAACCTCTCCGTCCGCATTTACCTCCCGGAGAAAGCCGCCGAGAACGGTGAGAAACTCCCTCTCCTCGTTTACTTCCACGGCGGAGGGTTCATCATCGAAACAGCTTTCTCCCCGACCTACCACAGTTTCCTCACGGCGGCTGTCTCTGCATCGGACTGTGTGGCGGTCTCTGTTGATTACCGGCGTGCACCGGAGCATCCTATTTCGGTCCCGTTCGATGATTCTTGGACAGCTCTCAAATGGGTCTTCACCCATATCGCCGGATCTGGTCAGGAAGATTGGTTAGACAAACACGCTGATTTCAGCAAAGTGGTCCTCTCCGGAGACAGCGCCGGAGCGAACATAGTGCATCACATGGCGATGAGAGCTGGGAAAGAGAAACTGAGTCCTGACTTGAACGATACAGGGATCTCTGGAATCATCTTGGTTCACCCTTACTTCTGGTCAAAACAACCAATCGACGACAAGGACACCAAGGATGAGACGTTGAGGATGAAGGTCGAGTCGTTTTGGAAGATGGCTAATCCCGATAGCAAAGATGGACCAGATGACCCGTTGCTCAACGTGGTGCAGTCAGAGTCGGTGGATTTGTCCGGGTTGGGTTGTGGTAAGGTTTTGGTAATGGTTGCTGAGAAAGACGCGTTGGCCAGGCAAGGTTGGGGTTACGCGGCAAAGCTTGAGAAGAGCTGTTGGAAAGGAGAGGTTGAGGTGTTGGAGAGTGAAGGAGAAGACCATGTTTTCCATTTGATGAAACCTACTTGTGACAAAGCTATTGAAGCCATGCATAAATTCTCAGCGTTTTTTAAGGGAGACAAGTAGTACTGTTTGGTGCTCTATAATGAATAATTTGGTATTGTTTCGTTCTGTCACTCAATTTCTGTAATGAATGTTTCAGTGATCAAGCATTTCAGCTACAACAACACAATAAACATTTGGAAATGGTTGATGTTTCTTAAGAGATGTTTAACTCTGTTTTATCTCTGTTTACTGAACTTGATCCAAAACGTCGCAAGTCAGAAAAAGCTTTATGAATGATATAAAGTAGTAAAATGTAACGTACACTATTGAAGTCACCTGAAAAAGAGGCAATTTATCTCAGGAAAAGTCAGAAAAGCTTACGTTTCAGCCACCAAAACCACTATTTATGATGGAAATTGTTTTTTTTTTTTGTTTTTCTTTTAATTAGCAAATCCTAAGCTACCGACTGAATATTATACACTACTTTTTCCATCTGTGAGAGAATAAGACAAAGTAAAGTATTTCACTTTTCCAGTTTTCACCATTATCATCTTTCTAGAACGTTTGAACACAAGCATACAAATTTAACAAAACAAACAGAGAAGACAACATTTGAAAACACAGGTTTGCTGTTCCGCAGGCTACTTATTCAAATCAAATTCGAAAAGAAGACGAAGAAGCTTTCTAAATGAGGGAAGTAGCCAGAAACCTGGAAAAGGAAAGCTTGCTAGACGGCAATCCCGAGGGATTTCTTGAACTTCTCAACTTCTAGATAGACAGTTGAGTAAGGTAAGAACTCAGAGAAGTAATCTCCACTTAGGTGGTTAATGGCAACAGCAAGCTTCGGGATCTCTAATGTTTCTTCATTGGTGAGAGTTCGAATAAACCTTGCCGGATTGCCTCCCCAAAGTTCACCAGATGGGATTCTTCTGCCAGGTGGCACAACAGAACCAGCTTCTAGGATTGACCGTGTCTCGACCAGTGAGCCTTCCATTAGGATCGAGTGTTGCCCGATGATGCATTCAGGTTCGATAGTGCATGATCTTAAAAGACTGTATGCACCAACTGTCACATACCTATCGATCAATGTCTGTGCTGGTAATCCTGAAAATTCCAAAGTAGAAAAGTAACTTCTGAGATAAGATGTTTTATCTACCATATCTAAACCAGCACAAAGAGATGATCTACCCTTCCAGATGTTAGTATAGAAAAGTGTAGGAAGCCTGTTCGACAATACAGAGCTATTGACTAGAAAAGATGGTGGTCTAAGTAATTAAGTACTTGTTGTACACTTCAAAGATAACTCGGATTACATCAATGTTAAACTAGCATCTAATCAAACAAGGAGGTTTTTGTACTTAAAACATTTACATGGAATTAAACCTTGGCAAGACTACAAGAAGCTACACTCATAAGGATTGATGCAGCTTAGAATCCCGGTTCTATCATAAAATAGAAAGTCAATTTGTGGAGAAATCTCTTTTGTCAAATTAAAAACATCTTACTACACAAAATGGTCATTGGTAGTGTTATCCACCATACTCAACTCCTGAATAACCGAACTCTCAAGATCAACCACAAGCCTTCACCGATTTTCTTGTTTCCTCTATCACTAATCACTTAAAGAGTACACATTTCTATGCATCCTAATGTAGTTAAACGCAAAATACTGTGAAGAGTAACTTCACTAAACAACTATCATTCAGGATTCATACTATTCACGAACAAACACTATTTGCGCAAAACCAATATGCTTACTAGTTACTGCACTACTCCAATAATCTAAATAGACGATGAAGATGAAAACCCTAAATTCCAATATCGCTAATTCCCCAATGCTTTAGCAGGCAGTAGCAGCAAAAATTGGATACTCAGAGCTCAAAATCTGAGAGAACACACACATAACAAGCTACAATGAAATCATACAGAGACTCAAATTCTGAAAAAATGACAAAGAATAAAGAACCTGTTGGGGACGACCACGCAGCATGAACAACACAACGTTCCTGGACATTTGAGCAGAATCCAACGGTGATCTTGTTGAGATCTCCTCTTAAAACGGCACCGTTCCACACAGACGAGCCGTCCCAGACTGTGACCTGACCAGCCAACACAACGTTAGGTGCCACGTAAGCATCGACGGCGACCTTCGGTAGCCACTGTCCCAGAGGAATGATCTGTCTTTGGCCTCTGTAGTCCCATTTCACCCGATCAGGAGACGGCGTCACCTCCGATTTCGGTTTAGGCGTTTCCGTCGTCGCCACCGCAACTGCTTCCGCGGCATAGAAACGCCGAATCAGATTCGAAGCCAAAGCCGATGTGACGCCTCTTCTAGAGATTCGAGCTAACGAAGTCGCCATTGCTATTGATTCAGGATTCTTCAAGGATTTGTGAAGAGAGATAGAGAGCTTCCCGGAGGAGACACAGAGGAGTCGTCGGGGAGATTCTTCGAAATCAGAAAATGAACAGTTCGGAAAATACTATTGGGCTTTATGGGCTAAGTTTATATAAGCCCATAAATTATGCCATAGACCTGCTAGAAATTTCATGTACGATATAATTATTTTGGTATGCGTTTCGATGTTCGTTGTTTTTACAAACTTTAAATGCTGAAAATGTTGTGTTTCATAATGTAAGGACAAGATCTTCATATATAAATGCAGACTAAGAAAAGTTTTGTTATGTAACCACTCTTTTAGCAAACTACATGCTACAACATTTTTTAGTAAATTTATGACCATGACCAAAAATACATACGTGCTTCAAAAAGCTTATTGCGAGGAGAAACGTTTGGATTTTTGGGGCATTGTTATCACTAAAACCAATAGAAGAAACATTCCTAGACCTCAGAAACTAATAACTAAGTAAACATGTTGATTAGTTAACTATGTAGCCCCTTCTTTTCTTGTGTGTTGGTGATGGAGGTGTAGTAGCAATGCGCACACACTCGAAGAAAGGGTTCAATGGGAACATATGAGGCCAACAGTTAGCATAATAATTAAGGGGTCATATTCAAGTTTTACTTATCTTGATGAAAATTGTGTCACAAGCTATTAGCTTCAGGGAAGAGGTACACTTCTATTGATTTTTAGTAACGGTCTAAATCTAAGTTGTTTTAGAATAATATGTTACATTTTATTACTCAATTGTCGAAAGAGGTCAAACTCCTACAAATGTTACACTGAAACATTGATGCAAGACATCAAAGCTGTGTCCATTATTCACTAAATTCTAAGAAGAAAAACGAACATAACCCACCAAAGTTTCATCAAACCAGACACATTTGTCTGCAAACTACAAACCGCATTGGCTATTTATTCAGTCCCCTGTCGTCTCCTCTTGCAGCTGCAAAACAACATCAATCGAAATCTTATATAAGCGAAATATATTGGCCAAAAGAACCATATTTTCTGTTCAATTATCATCAAAAAGGTTACAAACCTTTTAAGCCATTCCGCGCTTGTGTTTCGCCTTTTCCCACTGGTCAAGTAAACAAGTGACACCTTCTTCAAGTGTAGCCTTCCTATCTTCTTTTATGTTCCATAGCTCTGATGTAATATATCTTCCACTCGGATTATACTCGTTTATCTCCAACAAAGCCTGCGTTACCGCATTGTATGGACCATCTCCCAAATCTTCCTTCAGCTCCCTCAGCTTTTCGTCTGTCTCATCTATCACTTCCTAAACCCCATACAAAACACAAATCTTTCAGAGAGATTCAACATAACCAAAACACCAAAACCGACTCGAGAAGGCAGTCGTACCACTTCTCTTTCTTGATTTTCAAGCTGGACCCGCTTGAATGGATGCCACTCTGGATCTTTGAGATAGCCTTCCCAAAGTTGGAGAACATCAACTGCTCGGTCCTCAACATCTTGCTGACAATACTTCTGCTGCATTGCATCCATGAATGGCTTCGTCACAAGCTCTCCCATTCTCTTGACACCGATATTTGTTTTCCATTCTTTGATAATCTACAAAGACAATGTAACAAATACACCAAGATTTAGGCGAAATTTCAAGCTTTGTCAGAGCTGTTAGATATAATTGAAATGAACAACACTTTGATACATACGTTTACCAATTCTTTACGAGCTTCTTGAAGCTCATCATTGGTTCTACGCTCTCTAAGGATAAGAGCTTGGTTAAATTTATCGAGGTCTGAGAGTTCTGCTTCCTTCTCACCTAAATCTTTATAGATGGTTCCCACCTTTTTCACAATTTCAGCATCGCCGTCTGATCCCATGTGCTTCATCACATTAAGCTGTCCTTTCAACTGCTCAATCTCTAGCTCAACTGCTTGTTTCTGATCTCTTTGTCTTTCTAGTCTTATGATTTTCTCATGAAGCTCCTCCTTTTGCCTCTATTGAGAACACATCAACATCGTCTTTCTCAATAATCATGAAAATAAGCCCAACCATTTTAAGAAAAGAAGAGGAAAGTCACTAACTCTCTGATCCTCTGCCAATTTTTTAACTTCCTCGTCTGCCTTTTGTTGTTCCAAGGTTGCTAGTTCAAGTGAACTATTCTTAGATGCATTCTGATAAGAAAACCGAATCGTTTATTGAATTTAAGCCTATTTATTTGTAAAAGAGAGATATAGAGAGTAAGCATGTACCTGTTCAAGATCTTCACTCAGTTTCATTCTCTCGGCTCCATTGTGCACTTCGCGCTTAGCCAACTCATTACCTTTGATTTCGAGTTTCTTCTTCTCTGACTCCAACAGCTTCTTCAATTTCTCATGATCATCAACTATCTTTTGAATGTGACTCATTGTTCTCGCTTGTATAGCATTCAGCTCTCGGTAATGCTTTTCTTCATTCTTTTCCTTCTCTTCCATCAACTGATTAAGTTCTTTTGACTTCACTAAACACAGCTCCTCAATCTGTTTCATATCTTTTTTCTTTTCTTCTACAAGTTGTGTCAGATTCTGCACAAGTTTTTGCTGTTTCCGCGCCTCTTCTTCCGTAAGCTCAGCTATAGTTTTGAGATCACCCGTCTTCCTCAAGTTTTCTCCGATAATATTATTGCCGTTATAATCATCAGCACGAGCAATCCACGCATAAAGACCCGATTTTGGACCGTCTTTTTTCAACCAGTCCTTTTTTCCATGGCCGTCTACTCGATAAGCCTTGTCAAACAAAAGGGCATTGTGAAGTCCATTCCAATCTTTGTTAAACTCCACTATTGCTGTTCCTGAATGTCCCCAGTGATTCCATAAAGGACGAACTCTAGTCGGATTAAATCCTCTTTGAATGTACCCATCCCTAAGCTTTGATCCACTCTCACCCGCAGATCGACCATCTAGTGCCTTTGTAGTTGGTATATTAACCACAATACCTGTTTCAGCCACATATACACAAATCAATAAACCCACATTGATGTTAAACATACGTTTAAAGTAAGAACATTTGGATACATATTCACTAAAACTCCATTGCATTACTCCAATTCTCATATCTCAAGATAAGCTAACAAAGTGTGTTACTTTAAAGTTAGTACCTTTCCAAGGCCACACGAGCTTCTCGTCATGGTCACAATCTTGAATAGGATTTCCATTTTTCTGACGCTTTGAGGAGGGCTCTGCATCTGAAGCTGAATCAGCAAGATCCTGTTGAAGGTACTTGACAAGAGCAAGGTGGCTTGCTTTCTCCTTAGCACTTCTTTTCTCTGAATTGCTATTACCAACTCCAGAAGCATGCTGAAGTAGATCTTTGTACTGAAAACTCGGTTTCTTCTTGTTTGGACAGTAAGGACAGACAAAAGCTTGAGGAGAGAGTTTCACTTTCACCTTCCCACCTTTAAGATTAAGGTACATTTTGTCTCCATACTCATCCATTTCAGATTCACTAATATCTGAATCTTCATCATCTGAGCTCAAAACCACCGTGCTCCCCATCTTATTCCTTGCTAAGAGGTTACAATCAAAATCGGAAATCAATTAACCAAAAAAAATGATCTGCTTTTGAAATTTTCTAACAATGCAACCCCAATTCCATTACTTTATTCTCCCTAAATTTGATTTCTTTATAAAGTTATCATCTTCTTCCTCTATATCTCTGTATTGGGTTTCTCATCATTATATGATTTGCATGTTTGATTTTTATGGGTTCATTGTAATCAAAGAGCTCCAGAGGGTACAAGGGAAAGCAAGATCGATCTTTTAAACCTAAATAGTCTATGTTTCGTTTTAAAGAATGAGGAAAAGAGAAGAAAACAGAGTAAGTAAATTGGGGAGGGAGAAACTTACAAGAAGAAGAAGCAGGAGAGTGGGTGCCCCAAGTGTCCGTAGGAAGACGAAGAAGAGGAAGCTCTCTCCTCTCTCTTCACTTGTTATGTTTTGTGTCGTCCTCGAGTGAGTAGGGTTAAAGAAAGATATATGTATGTCCTTTTATTTTATTTTTTTGGCATCAGACTTTAAAAGTAAAAAAAATAAAGTCAGTCAAAGTAAAGATGAGAGAGAGAACACATCGAATATAACGCGATCGTTCTATCTATATCAACTTTTTTTCTTTCTCTTTAAATGGAGAAGTTAACTTTTCTTTAAGTAATGTGGTCTGAATTTTTTTTAACTGTTTGAAATAGTTACATTTTGATTGTCTTGATTCTTGAGGTTCGTGGAGTTTGTGGAAACATCGTTTATGCCACACACTGCAATTTACAAAGGGTGTGAGCTAATGAAAGCACATTTGTGTATTCGCGTGGTGTCGACGCGCTTTACTTTACACGCATGAGTCATAACAGAGACTGTGACTCACTTGCAAGTTACAACGTAAGCAGTGAAAAACATCTTTACAGGTTTTATTTCTGTGTACTTCAACGTTCAATCACATCACATGAGAATCTAATCGGCTTAGCGCTCAGGTCTGTGTGGGAGACATTGTAAGACTCACTTCGTCAAGATGGGTCATATCTCGGCCCATTTTGGTACTTACATTTAAAGCCCATTTTTGTTACAAACCTTTAACCCGCCGAGTCAGAAAAGAAGGTTTCGTTTTTGTGTTTTTTTGTAAAAAGGTTTCGTTTTTGTGTTTCAGTTCATAATTTGCCTTGGTCAACATATTTACTAAATGTGATAATTATTGAAAGATATGAAACGTCACGTAGAAGGTAAGAAAAATCTCAACATTAGTTTTATGGTAAACCGGACCAGACAAGTAACCAAATCAAACCTATAGAACTCAGAAATGAGTAACATAACCGGTTCGTATTTGGTTCCAATTTATTTCGACAAACCAATAAACTAAAACCGGTTTCTAAAAAACCTCATGCAAGGTCAATTTCACTCAGACAGTCAAAATCCATGCATCAAAACAAATCAGGAGCCCAGACAAACCAAATTAAACCAGAAACCAAACAGAGCAACAAAACTTAAAATTACTTAATTTTTACCAAAAAAAACTTTAAATTACTTATGGTGCATATTCAGAATTTCAGATATAGATTCACATAGAAATTATAAACAAAGCCAGAAAAGATAGGAAGCAAATTATAAAATCCAAAACAAACCATGGACAAAACCAAACCGGTGAGAAACTACAAATGAACCGGCAGGGTAAAATATTAACCGGTGTAAATATGGAGACGAATGGCGATGGTGAAGATGGTGATGAGACCGAAGAAAATTATGGTGTGGACGAGAATGGAGGCACCACTAGTCTGCATATTCCCGAATTCGACGACACGACCTCTCGCCGGAATCTGAAAGAGAAGCCCCGGCGTCAGAAGCACGAACAGTATCACGGCGATCACTACAGGTCCCCAATCCGCCATACTTTTCTTCCTTCAACTAGAGAGACAGAGAGAAGAGAGAAAATGTAAAAAATGGGTTTTGAGAGTTTTGAAGAAACCAAAAACTTCCTCGTGCGGTGCGTTAAAAAGAAACGGCCGGTGGCGATGTCACGTGCGTAGACGTTGTTATCGAAGGACGTGACACGTGACTCAGTGACTAATCTGACAGTTTAAATGACTCGCTGGTTTTTAATCGAACTGGGCTTCACTTTTGATCCATTTCAGGCCCATACAAAACATATTCTCCAGACGACGTCGTCTGCTTTCTTCTCTATCTTATGTTTCCTCCTATAAATCCTAATCACTTCAATATCGTCCTATCCACTTTGTAGTCTTGCACTGAGTAACTTGTAGTGATCTTTAACTCTCTCTGTGAGTGAGAGAGAGAGAGAGAGAGATTATACTTTGAAAATTGGTAAAATGACAAACTTAAAAAGCTTTTTAAGGACCATATATATATCCAATATATAAGATCAGAAGAGCAAAGAAATGTGGTTGTTCCTTCAACATATTCTAATGGCACAAATGTAAATATTGGTTGTTCTTTAACTCCCCAATTTATAGTACTTTTTTCCTTAATGAAAGATCAGTGGGGCGGGGCGCAATTAGACAAAGGTCACACTACCATGATGATAACTCTTTTTATTATTCGTAAACATATTAAAAACTACATCACTACTCATTCTCTTAATACTCTCGGTGCAGAGAATTTATACAATAGTCCTAAATTAGCTTTTTACATCAAATCATTCCATTATAAAACATTTGTTATATAGATTGTAGATCCAAAAAAACAAACAAATAAATAGGTTATAATGTATATACATTCGTCAAGAGATCTCATCACACACAACTAGTAAACTATTTTACAAAACTCTAGGGGAATCCACTTGTAACATCTACAAGAAAACAACATCAAACCCTGTTGTCATCATCATCTACGCGGTTTTCTCAAAATCCATGTCTTCTTCACGTGCATACATATTTCCAAAAGTTTTATAAACTCTAGCTATAAATTAATAAAATCAGCCTTAATTTCAGAATTTCATTGACCGAGTAAAATCTAAAATAAGTTACATAATTTCGCAGTGACAAGTGAGAACAGAATCTTCTTTTACAAATCGAGCCTACCAAAAACCAAAGCACAAGTAGTGGAACCAATTTTTTTTAAAAAGCAGTAAATAGACACCATAGCTTTTTCTTGCTTCTTCTGCTCTCTACACTTCACATTTACCCAACACCTTCTTTTTCCTACTTTTCTCTTTTTGTTTTGGTTTCCAAAGAGACAATTATCTTCTCACCACTGTCTCTTTTATGTTCTTTCAAGAAAAACCAATCTTCAGGCAAAAACAAAACCACAGAATCAAATTCTTACACAGAAGAAAAAGCTTATAAATCGTATTCTTTTCTCCCCAAGAACGACTCACCATTCATGAAATGAAACTATCTTCAGTTTCAAGATTTTCTTTAACTTTCTCACACTTCCTCACACTCTATTGTCTTCTCATACCTACCCATGTAGCTCAAGGATCTCATCAATGGGAGTCACCAATCAAAACCGTCGTCGTTCTTGTATTGGAGAATCGATCTTTCGATCATCTCTTGGGTTGGATGAAGAAATCAGTTAACCCGACTATTAACGGTGTAACCGGTCAAGAATGCAACCCGGTTCCTAATTCTACTCAAACCATTTGTTTCACTAGCGATGCTGAGTTCGTGGATCCGGATCCGGGTCATTCGTTCGAAGCTGTTGAGCAACAGGTTTTCGGGTCCGCGTTATCCGGGTCGGGTCAGATCCCGTCTATGACGGGTTTCGTCGAACAAGCGCTTTCCATGCCGGGGAATTTGTCGGAGACTGTGATGAAAGGCTTTAGGCCTGAATCTGTACCGGTTTACGCTGAGCTGGTTAAAGAATTTGCTGTGTTCGACCGGTGGTTTTCTTCTATTCCTGGTCCGACTCAACCGAACCGGTTATTTGTCTACTCTGCTACCTCTCATGGTTCAACCAGCCATGTCAAGAAACAACTCGCTCAAGGGTTAGCTTAATTTTCACACTTTATTCCATAATAAATAAATATATATATATAGTAACTGAATTAGCAATAATAAATTTCCTAATTTGGTTTAATCATTATTGTAAACCAATTTTATGTATCATCATTTGATTTCAGGTATCCACAAAAGACTATATTCGATTCGCTACATAGCAACGACATAGACTTTGGAATATACTTTCAGAATATTCCGACAACGTTGTTCTACCGTAATCTCCGACAGCTAAAATACATTTTTAATTTGCATCAGTACGATCTTGCATTCAAGAGAGACGCAGCCAAAGGAAAGTTACCGAGCTTAACCGTAATCGAACCGAGGTATTTCGATCTCAAGGGTTTACCGGCCAACGACGACCATCCGTCGCACGACGTTGCTAATGGTCAGAAGCTGGTTAAGGAAGTTTACGAGTCACTTAGGTCGAGTCCGCAGTGGAACCAGACGCTGCTAGTCATAACTTATGATGAGCACGGTGGGTTCTATGATCATGTCAAGACTCCTTATGTCGGTATACCAAACCCGGATGGGAATACTGGACCGGCTCCTGGTTTCTTTAAATTTGACCGGTTAGGTGTTCGGGTTCCTACTATTATGGTTTCGCCTTGGATTAAAAAAGGAACCGGTTAGTTCTCTTTTTCTTTTCTATTAATTAATGTTTATCTTTATGATAGTTTAACAGTTTTATTATATTTTGTTATTATTTTTAATAGTTTTACGAATTTGTTTTGTAGTGAATTAGTGTGCACTGTTTTTTTGGTATATCTTTTTCTCAAGCTTTTAAATAAATAATTATATAAAATAGGCTTTTCAACACGATTTATTTATACATATAAGATAGATTTGAAACTGTTAACAAAGGCAAAACAAGTTTTCTCTATTTTATGCTTAAAAAAAATTATTTTTAATATACTGTAGTCATCTTTTCACGTATGGATTAAATCTGAAAACAATTTTTTTTTGTAACACCAAAAAAAGAAAGTCATTTGTATTTCATGTGTTTCCACTTTCTACTATTATTTCCGACAAAACTTTTGACATTTGTTACAAAATTTAAAGGCTGCAAAAACCAAAACACATGGATAGGATTTGACAACTACATAAGATTGAATCCATTAATTGTGGTAGAGAAAAATAATTGAATCTGTTTACTATTTCATTGAATGATCTATACATTATAATATGTCGGCGTCGTCGCGTGACTCATGTTTTCAACCATCTTCTGACTCCATGTGATTAATTTATTTTTGTTATATAGTTTAATAACATCTTTATTTTGTTATTTGTTTTTCTCGAGTGAAGTGGTGAGTGAGGCTAAAGGACCAACAGAGAGCTCAGAGTATGAACACTCATCAATACCAGCGACCATCAAGAAACTCTTCAATCTATCTTCCAATTTCTTGACACATAGAGATGCTTGGGCTGCTACGTTCGAAGACGTTGTATCTCACTTAACCTCTCCTAGAACCGATTGTCCTATGACTCTTCCTGATGTTGCGCCCATTAGAACCACTGAGCCTAAAGAGGACGCAGCGCTTTCTGAGTTTCAGGGTGAAGTGGTTCAGCTTGCGGCCGTTCTCAATGGCGATCATTTCCTCAGTAGCTTCCCCGACGAAGTTGGGAAGAAGATGACTGTGAAACAAGCTCATGAGTATGTCAAAGGAGCTACATCTAGGTTCATTAGAGCTAGTAAAGAGGCAATGAAGCTTGGTGCCGATAAATCTGCTATTGTCGATATGCGATCTTCGCTCACTACACGGTCACGCAACCTGTGACCCCACTAATGAAAACGATTAAAAAAACTTGTGAAGATTGGTGGGTTTGTTCGTTTGCTTGCTTGCTCTGTTTTGATCTGAAAATGTGTGATTTGATGTTTGAAAACTGGAATTAAGGAACAAAGATATAGACCAAATTCAAATGTTAGTGTATACATGTTAAGCTCACGGTTAAGTCTTGGAACTTGGATGTTCCATGTTAGTGTATACATGTTGAACATCACACATCCTCCATGTTCCACAATTTAACTGAAGCCCAGGCCCAAATATTAAATTTATCAAGGGGTGTTACTCTGCGCGAGTTTCCATGGGTTAGCTACTTTACTTGAGATCCTCTTTACATGTTTATGTGCATTTAGGGATTGGTGTCTCTAGAGACTGTAGAATAGTGTATAATTTGAATGTTGTGTGGGTCATTATCTAGGGGATAAAACAGTGGACTTGGGTTAATTATCTACTTTTAAGCCAAAAAAATGTTGTCTACTAACTGAAATGTTTTGGTTTTGTTTATGAAATTGGTCATTTCTGATTCTGACGGAATATTTTGAAAAATTCAGCTTGTTAATTCTTACAGTGTCAAATCATATAACTCATGACTTAAGAATATTGTCTTTAGGTGGCTTTTGACCATGTTGTTTGCTTCTCTTGTTTCAGAGTCATAGATTGCATTTTCACGTTAAGAAGATAATGATTTCTTTAAACCTCACTTGTTTTAATTTTGTAGATTACCAAGCGTACTAATTGGCGGATACGATGCGATGACAACTTGAAGACGATATTCGATGGCAAAGACATAGTCGGATTCAAAAAGCTCGTTTCACTCTTGTTGCGACATTTCCCTGATGACAAACTCGACGACTGATCTGGTGAGATTTCTCACCTATGTAGTAACCATTCCAACTAATGAGTTTGTTTTCTTGTGGTTCATTTCGGATGCGTATGAAAAATTCTAGACCCCATTGAACTTTGATATGTATAAAAAAACGCAATGTAGATTTAAATCAATGACATAACTAAAGGATGTTGTTTTCATTTTTCAGGTTATATTTTATTTATGCTTATAATAATAAACGAAGTATAAAAAAAAAAAAATCATTACATAAAAAGAGATAACAACAACGTGTGCGTTTGAATTTATAATTAAATGACAAAAAATAGAGGACAACAAAAGAGGAAAAGAAGAAGAAGAGAAATCAGCTACATCGCTGTCCACCTTATCCACTTGTACCCCAATCCCTTTGGCAAAAAACTTGTCACAACCCTTTGATCCAAAAGTCGTCAAATCCAAAACCGACCAATGGACAACAACCAGCAACCACCTCCCTCCGCCGCCACCGGAATCCCTCCTCCTTCTGGAACCACCATCTCCGCCGCCGGAGGAGGAGGAGCCTCTTACCACCACCTTCTCCAGCAACAACAACAACAGCTCCAATTGTTCTGGACCTACCAACGCCAAGAGATCGAACAAGTTAACGATTTCAAAAACCATCAGCTCCCACTCGCTCGGATCAAGAAGATCATGAAAGCCGATGAAGATGTTCGTATGATCTCCGCCGAAGCACCGATCCTCTTCGCTAAAGCTTGTGAGCTTTTCATCCTCGAGCTCACCATCAGATCTTGGCTTCACGCTGAGGAGAATAAACGCCGTACGCTTCAGAAGAACGATATCGCTGCTGCCATTACTAGGACCGATATCTTCGATTTCCTTGTCGATATTGTTCCCAGAGATGAGATTAAGGACGAGGCCGCCGTGCTCGGTGGTGGGATGGTGGCTCCTCCTACCGCGAGTGGCATGCCTTACTATTATCCGCCGATGGGGCAACCAGCTGTTCCTGGAGGGATGATGATTGGGAGACCGGCTATGGATCCGAGTGGTGTTTATGTTCAGCCTCCGTCTCAGGCGTGGCAGAGCGTTTGGCAAACGTCGGCGGGGACCGGAGATGATGTCTCTTACGGTAGTGGTGGAAGCACCGGTCAGGGGAATCTCGACGGCCAAGGGTGAGTTTCATTTTATCTGCAATGTAGATATATTGATGATGATTAGATTTAGGGTTTTAGGATTTGGAATGATAATATGATAAACAATATCTAAGTCTGGTTTTATTGGGATATCATCAGGTCACCAGTTGCAGTCGTTCTATCTAAGATTTGATCATTGGTCTAGTATTGACTGTGAAACTAAGCTCATGAGTATGTGACAACGGAGCCACTTCTAGATTCATTAGGGTTTTAGGATTTGGAATGATAACAATCTCTTAGTCGGCTTTGATCCGGATAATTGTATCATCGTCAAGATTTGAACACTGATTTTTCAAATAATCCTGAATCAAGCACCTCTGTTCAAATGTACTGATGTATAGTCTCTTGCTCTTCTGCTGGAATTTGAATGGATCAATGAAGTATCACTCCTTAATCTGTTTTTCAATGTCTTTCTATCATGTTTGCAGTTAAAGCTCAGAGTATTTCAGATGATGTGAGCTTACCCAGCTTGAAGACAGCAGATATTAGTCGACCTTGCCTTGAATTTTGGTTGTGTCTAATCGATTATGCCTGAATTCAATTTACCTTTACATTTAAAAGAAAGAGTAAATTAAACTCTTATTCTTCTCTGTTAACTTATATGTTATTGCAGCAAAACAGTCACTCGCTGCGACTTTGCCTAACTATATATCTAGTGTGCAGTTTCTAAATGTATGCTTCTTCTTTTTTTTTTTTTTTCTCGTATCTTTCTCCTCCTTTAACACTTCTTGGAATGAACATATCTGTGAGATGCAGTCTTGTAACTTGTAGGGGTTTTAGTGCTTGTAAATCTCAAAGCAAACCCCATCTGAACCAATGTAATGTATCGAGCTTGGTTCTGTGTAAATGTGTATCTATATATGAACTCGTGACACAGGAATGGAACTAGCAGCGATGGCAACAGACTTGCTAGTTTAGTTAATGATTAAATGATAAGAACAGCTTATCAATAAAGCATGGTAACATACATAAGTTATCTCTTTTCAAGATTTTTGTTTTCCAGGCTTAACCCTTTGACAGGTACTGATCTTTCTCTAACTGTAACTTGCGCATTCTTGAGGCACCTTTGGATATCGCTGTCTGTCAGAGCAATAGTCATAATCCAGGTACATCTTCCTTGCATTTATATACAGTTCCTTCTCTTTAGAACTTAGCTGTTTGCGATTCCACCAGAACGAAGGGTCAGTGCATTTCTCTATCCCCATGAACTCAGTTTGACACCCTTCAATCTTTGATGCCTGGAACTTAGCAATGTATGGTATCTGCTTGGGGCCAATTTTCGATCCGTTCTTCACACTTCCCATTAGGAACATTGTCTGTACCGATGGGTAGTAAACATCTGGATTCTTCCTGTACACTCTGATCGGTGTACCATCAACATAAAACCTGAAAATGTAGAAATACCTTTTCTTTTGTTACTGATATTAACCCAATGGATTAGTGGTTGATCTGATAGAATTGTCATATGATACTCACACAAGTTGATTTGGGTTCCAAAGAAAACTGTAGGAATGGAAATCTTTGGTTGGATCAAACCAGAGACGGAACCTCTGATCTTTGCCTCCTTCCCCGTACAGATACATATTTGTATTCAGAAAATACGGTGGCCCATTCCTTCCCAAAATCTGGAAACAGAGCTCGTCATGACGGCTTGAACGGGAGATTAACTGTCATATTGCAGAAAATATATGTCAAGAAGCTATTCAGGTACGTAACCTCATCACGTTTATTTCAGACAAACATAAGTTAATGTGATTGGCGTACGTAGAAGGAAGTAATGACTCCCGTAGACTTGGTTTGGGGTGCCTTGATTCTTACGTTGAAGTATCCTGATCCGTATATCAACTGGGATTCAAACCCGGAACCTGTAAGGAACATACATGTGACCAATCATAATCATTGTGTATACGCACAGGTTTATCTCTCATAGAGACCAACATACACACAAAGAAAGAAAGAGAGATAGAAACCAGAGTTATGGTCGAGGGTAAGGCGGAGCTCAGAGGTTTCATTAATAACCAAAGCTTGATGTCCCCATGTAAGGTAGTAGTTGTTTCCCCATGTCACGAACCCACCAGTCTCTTCACCTCGTGCTGTGGCTGCAACCACCAGAACCACCAGTAGAATATTCTGATAAGATCCTCTCATCTTGATCTCTCTTTCTCTCTCTCTCTCTCTGCTCTCTTTGCTTCTCCCTCACTTTACTTAAACACACTAGGACACGACTCTCTTGGGGTATGTTATATAGGCATAGAGCAGCCACGTACGTTACGTTCTCTCTTTATTTTCACCAAATTAGTCTCTATTCATTGCATCATCATAATCCCATTCAGCTAATCTAAAAATGTTTTTCGATGTTTTGAGTTTATAATCCATATTAATTATCGAGCTGTTTGCGATTACGTTTGTATTTTAGTGTGGTAAACTGAAAGGTGTTTCCAACTCGTTTCATACGCATCAAGCATTGCAAATTTAAAAGTTTACTAATTTCACGTTTCAATACTTAGGTTCAAAGTCTACATGTGTCATATCATCTATCTTTGATTAGTAATAATCATTAGGTCTGTCTAACATTCCAAATTTTTTGATTCTCTTATTAAAATTGTTTGTTTCTAACTAATCAGGCTTAATATGCAATTTTGTCAATTCTATCAAAGCCAAGTTCAGGAAATGTTTTACTGCATTTTTATTGTATTTTAAAATCCTTCGGTCTGATCCGTTTATCACGAGAAATCCGTGTTTGTTTGTGGCAGTAGTCTCTCTCAGGGAAAAAACGACTCGTAGTGTGAATGGGATATGCATAACGTGATGAGCACCATACCACTTAGCATTGTGAATTTTTAACTTAACAAACGAAATAAAAGGAGTTTAGTCGATTTGTAATAGAATAATAAAAACATTCTCTTAAGATGATTACTAAGTAAAAGTAGCTTCTATTGTAGTAGAAAAGGATGGTGACTGACCAAAGTCTATAGTAGTCTATATAAGGTTGGATTGACTCATTTATTAGTTTTTAGCCAAACGAGACCCCCTAAAACTTGCTAATAAGCTTTCGTATTTATGCTTTCGTATTTGTGGTAAACGCGGAAGAGAACTAAGAGAATGCCAATAAAGTTGCCACCAATGCGACAGCTCATTTCACAACATGTTATATAATACACGACAGTTACGTGCTTAGATTATCTAGTTCCAACTTGCATATCATCAAATCGCATATATATAATGAAAACGATTTAAATCTAATAAGTGACAAAGCAGTACTACTAGTTGAAGAGAGAAAATACTACAACAGACTAACTAAACCGGACTCGTTGTGTTCAGACCGAATCAATCTGAATTGAAATTATGGAGGAGGCGAAGTCAACGCAACACCAAACTTTAAAGCGGTGGTATAAAAATCAAAAATGTCAAAGTAAAACCAGCACCAAAACGACGAACCTCCTCAAACCCTAATTTTAATACCATATCCGAATCTAAGAAACCATGGAAGCCATTGATTCAGCAATCGATCCTCTCAGAGATTTCGCTAAGAGCAGTGTTCGTCTCGTCCAGCGCTGTCACAAACCCGATCGCAAGGGTACGCCTATTATTTATATACTCTCGAATTTCGAATTTTTGGGGATATTTGATTGGATCTCAAGATCTAATTTTTGTTTGTGTGTGTGATTTTGATTGGTTTTTTTTAGAATTCACTAAAGTTGCTGTGCGTACGGCGATTGGATTTGTGGTGATGGGATTCGTTGGCTTCTTCGTGAAGCTCGTCTTCATCCCAATCAACAACATCATCGTTGGATCTGCTTAGGATTATATAATACTTTACGAGGTTTTACTTCTTATCTTCAGTCTCTTAGTTATAATAACTAATACTCAGTTGTGGTACTCTCTCTCGCTTTATATTTGCCTAGACTTGGTTTATGTTTCTTGATATATATATATATATGGATTGATTCAAGAATTGTTCTGTCCATTGCTTTTAAGAATCATTGACCTTACAACATTTCTTGGTTTTATAAGCTCATGGATTAGTCTATACCAAATTTGATATGGATACAAGTTGATGTTATAGATCAAATAGTGGAAAGACTTGGAGAATTTTATTGGAGTTGGTTATAGCTAGTTCTTGGTCTATTGCCTTTGCTGTCTCCATGGTTTCTGCTACTGCCACGCTTCTGTTTACTTGTTATCTTATTAAGCCTCTATCTGTCACACTTGTGAGTTTCTGTTTGTTCTGAATTCTTCCTCTGTGCTGTCATGGAGTCTATGTTGTGTTACCCTCTTGGTTAGTTATACTTGTGTAATACAATTTTTGGGTTAGATAAACACTCATTTGTGAAGGTTTGTTAAATTATGAATCGCCTTACAGGCAAATGCGCGAGGAGTAGGCCAAGAAGAATGACATTATCAGCCTCTGGGGAAGCTCGATGTCCCTGCTATGTTTTTGTAGCCAAAAAATATATGTTCTTATACGAATTTCACTTATCATTTTCTTCTCTCTTGTTCCAAGTTTTCATCATCATCCCCTTTTTTTTATTTATGTATGAAAATACAATTTTTAGCCAAGTATATCTTTAAAGTCTAAATCTCAAATGGGTAACTCAATTCATCATCAGAAATTCAGAACCACCAAACTTGGGGTCCAATTCTTGGAACCAACTTGCACCTTACCAATCAGCTTCAGGACTCACAATCAAAGTAATCCAACTTGTATCATTTTCTCATAACCAAAAAAAAACAAAACAAAGAAGAGGATAGATTTGATAAAGTTCTCAGCCACAAATTCCACAAATTTAGGATTACAAGTATATTCAAGGCTCGATCAAAAGACTAGATTCCCTCAGGTGACTATAAATAAACAGATAACAAAAACCAAATCCCGAGGGCATTTTCGTAAATACAACACAAAACCCTTAATCTCTGAGTCTCGTTCCTTTTTTAAATGATTCAGGTTCACAAAGTCCTCTTTCTCTCTCCCTCGCTTCATCTCTCCTGAGACTCATTAAATCAAAACCATGGCGGCGGCGGCAACAACATCATCTTCGATCTCATTCTCAGCAAAACCTTCTCATCCTTCCTCCTCCAAATCGCCATTACCAATCTCCAGATTCACCCTCCCATTTTCCCCAAACCCTAACAAATCATCATCCTCCTCCCGCCGCCGCGGTATCAAATCAAGCTCTCTCTCCATCTCCGCCGTGCTCAACACAACCACCAATGTCTCAACCACTTCGCCTCCTAAAGAACCCACCAAAACCGAAAAATTCGTCTCCCGATTTGCTCCTGATCAACCACGCAAAGGCGCTGATATCCTCGTCGAGGCCTTAGAACGTCAAGGCGTAGAAACCGTATTCGCTTATCCAGGTGGTGCATCAATGGAGATTCACCAAGCCTTGACTCGTTCCTCCTCGATCCGTAACGTTCTTCCTCGTCACGAACAAGGAGGTGTATTTGCAGCTGAAGGTTACGCTAGATCCTCAGGTAAACCAGGTATCTGTATAGCCACTTCAGGTCCCGGAGCTACGAATCTCGTTAGCGGATTAGCCGATGCGTTGTTAGATAGTGTTCCTCTTGTAGCAATCACAGGACAGGTCCCTCGTAGGATGATTGGTACTGATGCGTTTCAAGAAACTCCCATTGTTGAGGTTACGCGTTCGATTACGAAACATAACTATCTTGTGATGGATGTTGAAGATATTCCTAGGATTGTTCAGGAAGCTTTCTTTTTAGCTACCTCTGGTAGACCTGGACCTGTTTTGATTGATATTCCTAAAGATATCCAGCAACAGCTTGCGATTCCTAATTGGGAACAGGCTATGAGATTACCTGGTTATATGTCTAGGATGCCTAAACCTCCGGAAGAGTCTCATTTGGAGCAGATTGTTAGGTTAATTTCTGAAGCTAAGAAGCCTGTCTTGTATGTTGGTGGTGGTTGTTTGAATTCGAGTGATGAACTGGTTAGATTTGTTGAGCTTACGGGTATCCCTGTTGCGAGTACATTGATGGGTCTTGGTTCCTATCCTTGTGATGCCGAGTTGTCGCTGCATATGCTTGGAATGCACGGGACGGTGTATGCTAATTACTCTGTGGAGCATAGTGATCTGTTATTGGCTTTTGGGGTGAGGTTTGATGATCGTGTCACGGGTAAGCTTGAGGCTTTTGCTAGTAGGGCGAAGATTGTTCATATTGATATTGACTCGGCTGAGATTGGGAAGAACAAGACTCCTCATGTGTCTGTGTGTGGAGATATTAAGCTGGCTTTGCAAGGGATGAACAAGGTTCTTGAGAACCGAGCAGAAGAACTTAAGCTTGATTTCGGAGTTTGGAGAAATGAGTTGAACGAACAGAAACAGAAGTTCCCTCTTAGCTTCAAGACGTTTGGGGAAGCCATTCCTCCACAGTACGCGATTCAGGTCCTTGATGAGCTGACTGATGGGAAAGCCATTATAAGCACTGGTGTCGGGCAACATCAAATGTGGGCTGCGCAGTTCTACAAGTACAAAAAACCAAGGCAATGGCTATCATCAGCAGGCCTTGGAGCTATGGGTTTTGGACTTCCAGCTGCTATTGGAGCGTCAGTTGCAAACCCTGATGCGATTGTTGTAGATATTGACGGAGATGGAAGCTTCATGATGAATTTGCAAGAGCTGGCCACAATCCGGGTAGAGAATCTCCCAGTGAAGATACTTTTACTAAACAACCAGCATCTTGGCATGGTTATGCAATGGGAAGATCGGTTCTACAAAGCTAACCGAGCTCACACATATCTTGGTAACCCGGCAAAGGAGGGCGAGATATTCCCGAACATGCTGGAGTTTGCATCAGGTTGCGGGATTCCAGCAGCGAGGGTGACAAAGATAGCAGAGCTCCGAGAAGCTATTCAGAAAATGCTGGATACCCCAGGACCATACTTGTTGGATGTGATTTGTCCGCACCAAGAACATGTGTTGCCGATGATCCCAAGTGGTGGCACTTTCAACGATGTCATAACGGAAGGAGATGGCCGGACTAAATACTGAGAGATGAAACTCGGCACTGTTTAAACGGTCTTTGTATGCATATGGTAAAAAAAACTTAGCTTGCAACTTCCAAGTTTGGTTTGGTAATTTGAGTTTCTTAGCTGTTGAACTGCTTCTTGGTTTACCTCAGACTTTGTTTTGTTTCCTTTTCTTTTCTACATATAAATAAATAATCCGGTTCGGTTAACTTGTTGTGAATCGCTCGGTTTAGTTATTGCCAATGGAGAGAACTGGGTAATTGAAATTTTATTTTTCATAATTCTAAGCTGTTTTTAAGTTTTAACAATTCGAGTTTTGTGTGTATATGATAAAATTAGGGGAAAATCTAAAATCGAGCTTGATATGCGTTTGGTTCGACGTTCGATTTTAAAAGTGAACAAACCAAATTATTAAAAAAGGTACTCCATTTTTCTGATTTTGTTTTTTTTTTTCTAGAGCAAAACACAATAAACAAAACTCTGCACTAAATGCATGAAAAGCTTAAAACATCTGCTTAAAAAAGATTCTAAAAATACAAAGATAATTCTTGTTATAGATTTGATATTTGGGGGAAAAGATAATTGAATTAGGTATTATATGGATATATTCTGATTTTAGGATTCACATGATCCAAAAAAGAAATTCACAAGGACTAATCAGACATTGGAAGTAGGAAAATAATTCAAAAAGTTTTTTTTTTCTTTTTAATTTATTCAAGTGACAAAAGCTTTTTAGTTCAAACTAAAGTAATAATAAACCGAAAAGAAACTAAAGTTGTATTTTTGTAATAAACAGAAAGAAGAATAATTATGATTGAAATTATATTTAATTTCTTTCTCAAGCATGAGGTTATGATGACAAGATGTGGATTTCCTCCTTGTATAGCCTTTAATTAATCTATTATTGTTGACAAAAATTGTTATAGTATAGTTATTTCAACTACATATATTAATACTTCTAAAAACAATATAGCACCTTTTTGGTGATGCATGAATGCTCTTTTTATTCAATGGTTAGTCAAATGGAGTAACTAATTATCTTGTGGACTATTTAATTTAGCATTAAAAATTCATGATTAATTTTTTTTTTCATTTCTATTAAGTATCTCTTATTGAAAATTCACACATGAGAAACATATGAAGTTACTTTCAATTTTTAATTTGTTTAATCGATTTCTTAATATTGAAAGTAACTTCATATGTTTCTCATGTGAAGCAGTGAAGGTACATGTTTTTTTTTGCTTGAAAAAAAATTGTTTTGTATTAATAAAAATTCCTTAGTTTTATTATATTTACGATGCTTTAGCCAAATTCTTAATATGTTCTTTGATTCTTCTATCAACTAGTTGTTTCTCAACATTTTCGTTTGGGTGAATTAGGTGTAATGATAACACTATTTCAGTGTGAACTCTTAACCGACTAAGAGAACTATAAATGGTCTTAATAATCCTACTATGGTGTTTATTGGCAACTACGAGAATGATGTTGTGAGTACCTTGTAAACTATGGATAGTCAGAAAGTAATGAATGCTGTCAAGGAACAATTCTACTCCATATCATTCTGAAATTTCAATCCTTCGTAGTCCCATAGGACCACACCGTGATAATATAAAAGAGCAAAGTAAAATTTCACTAAAAATTAATTTAAAAAATATATAATTTAGTTTAAAATACTCCACTAAAAATCCAAAAGGACATTTTATGTGAAGAAAAGTACAAATGTAGTTCAAAGAATTAGCATGATTTTCTATCTAGCTTTTTTCTGTAAGTTGCCTTATATTAGATATTTAATTTACATTGAGATGGTAATTTAAAGTAATTTAAAATATTTTAATTGTTAGTGCAATTTTTGGAAATTTGTGAAATGTATGGTATAGTTATCCATAAACGCATTTTAGTGTTATTTTAGTATATATTTCTCTAGATTACATGACTTACATATAAAAAAATGAACAAAGTTTTGCACATAAAGTTTATTTCAATCGAAACTACATATACTGATAATCTATACGAAGAAACTGAATGCAATTTGATAAAAGAAAAGTAGAGATCCAAAGATAAAAACTTTCAACGTTACATGTAAGATCAGGATCAACCTTTATATCCCTCTCTCCCCATAGGCACGTTCATAGAAATAAAAAAAGCTATAGCAACCACTCATAACATATATATTAGTAATTTACGAGTACATATAAAAATGGTCAATCTTCAAAAATATATGTAATTGGTGAGTGAGTGAGTGAGTTGTTCAAAGAGTGAGAGACTCTTTTCGCCTTTTCTCAGACATTTCAAAAGTAAGACTCTCACTTTCTCTCTTTTACTTTTAACCCATTTATATACAAAATAAAATCTCTTGACTTTGGGATTTCTTTTCGTTCTTTATCGTTTTCTCAGTTTTTCTTTCTATTTGTCAATGACAGAAAACAAAAATATTAAATATTAAATACAATATATATTTCTGTCGACTTGAGCCATCTGTATTTGGTTACTCTATATATATATATATACTATTATTGTCTTCAAAGTTATACACGCACAGCAATGAAATTGTACCTCCATTGCGTGCAAATATTGAAATGTTTTGCTTTGTAATTTTATGGATCCAAGAGACTGCTTTTTTTGGTGATCGATCATGTGAATATATACGGGGATGATCAAACATTGACAATTAGTAAGATACTCGATCATGAACTTTACAGTCTTTAGAACAAAACTCTTTAATTATCTCTCGAAATGGTTTCCAAGACTATCTATAGCTTATATATAGTTTCTGTTACCTCATTTTTAGATTCTAATTTTAACACTTCTTTAACAAAACAAATTATATGATCCCAAAGTAATATTTGGCTTTCACTTGTGTGAAAATATTGCTTACAAGTTGCTTACATATCATAAATAAATATGGTATATAATTGGTAAATACTTGGGGGTATTTAAATGAAATATATATTATATAAGTGCATGTAAATATTAGATATAGAGACTGAGTAGTGATGGATCACATGATGAGAGTAACTTCCATCATCTATTGTCCCCTCTTCCTTCCCTAACACTGTCTTTTCATTCCCTTCCATTCTAAGGGCATTGTCCCTTTCTCTTTTAAATCCAACCAAACTTGGCTTCTTCTTCTTGTTCTATTTTCTTCCAATTATATATTATCACTCTCTTTAATTAATACTTCTCTATTTATATATATGTGCCACCAAAATTACTAGCTATAATCTATCAGCAAATATCTTAATGATCTTTTAAAAGAGTAACCATTTCCAAGGATGATGAAGAGACCTAATTTAATAATTACATATACTTAAAGGTTCATATCCAAGGATGATGAAGAGACCTAATTTCTAAAATGAAGAACTATGATATAGAAAATGAACATTAAGACTGGTTACAAATGAAAATTTCCAAGTATACCTAGATTTCTAGAAGGTGGGAAGAAGAGAGATAAACATGCATAGTACCTAAATGAAGCTAAAGAGATAAACATATGCATAATAATGAAGCTAACTTGTGTAAGGACCACAAAATATATAGACATCGAAAGCAAAAAAAAATCTCTGTCATAAAGATATAAACTATAAGAGACAACACAAAATTATTACTAAATAGTTTATATTGTAGAAAAAGAATTAGAGTGAGCTTTAATATATATTTTAACGAAAGAAAAAAATCTAACAAGAGGGGACAAGCAAAGATCCATCCCACATGGGATTCAGAAAATATATAAATTTGTGAAAAAGCTGAACAAAGGAAAACAACACTTGGAAAATGATGGCTCTCTTTGATCTCTTTCTCTCTGATCACTAACACCAATATGTATTGATTCTATATGCACTGATGATAAACATGTATGTATGTACGTGTGTGTATGTATGTATGTATGTATGTATGTATGTATGTATATGTACATACAACATATATGTGATACACATATCTATATCTATCTATCTCATACATATAGCATATATGTGTGTGTATGAGTGTATATGTATGTATCATGTATGTGTGTTTATGTATACAAATATTGGGTATAAAGACAAATGTGAAAAGACAAATGTTAAGGTTGTGTCACAATGGGCAAGATTGCTATGTACTGATGTATCTTATCAGTTTCCATTATCTTCCAATTGCTTAGACACATCTCTTTCCTTCGGGTGAATTCAACATTGTGATTATACATTTCCTTTTTATTTTGTATGTACATTACGTTGAGACACGTACACTCATATAGTATTTACACACGTACGTTTGTGTGACTGTACATCAAATATATGTACATTTAACTGTATACGCCTTACACATGTATATAAATTTGATTGGTTTTCCTTATATTTATTCATTGAAAATGACATTAAAGTAGTAAACATTTTTACTTAGCATATAGTTACTATAACTACTATAAGAAGAGTATTTGGAACTACAAATTAAAAAGAGTATTCAAAAGGGTTTAAGGAGAAGAAGTACAGTTCATTGTACTATATGTCTTTTTATTAGTTTCTCTTCTTTTAATTATGTATAGCATTATATGGCAAGAGTTTAATATATATATAAAAGAGAGTAAAATATATATTTGAAGTTTTGATAAACAAAACGTATATTTTCTAAACATAAGTATGGAGTTTGTGTATATAGAGAAAGGTCTAAGAAGAAGAAGTTGAAAACAAGTGGGAGACTCCGACTCCATCCCACCCTTTGTTGTCTTGTAAATTTCTCTCATCAATTATTATTCATCTTCTTCTTCTTCTACTTTTTTATTGCATAATTAAATCGATTGCAGTTTTTGTTTTTTGTTTTGATCCATTTGCTTCTATCTTTCATTATCAAAAGTTCCTATCATCAAAAATATGACTCATGGCCCCTCCTGTTTCACTCCATTTTTGTTACTATTTGTATAAACTTTTATAATAGCTTAATGATTATATATATATAATATCACATATAATTTGCTACTTTTTGTGTAAATTAAAGAAAATAATGAGTTCTGTTTATAAGTTTATGCATTAAACTCTATTTGAAGACAAGAATAATAAATATATATCTGCTCGAATAACCCGAAATAGCTAGTCAGTTTCTAACTAGTTGAACTTATATATCACACCAAATTCGTTTAAGTGTTGAAGAAACCTCAAAACTGATCGATTCTCATGATGAGAAGTAGAATCCACTTGTTAGATTTCAACTTCAGACGCATGTAAGAAAAGTACTGTATGAAGTGCTCAATAACTAAATAAAAATTTGGCATTAGACAGTACCCAAATTGGAATCTTGATTAGTATACTATTTCTTTATACCTACAAGTACATGTATATGTGTGTTTATTTTATACGCGTGTGGATGAAACTGTGTGTGTGGTAATTATATGTAAAGGTGTTTCTTTCTTTCTTTTAAACGAAATTTATATTAGAAAAGATCTTTATAATATATGTTGACAAGATAAAGAGATCTTTATATATACATCCAAAGAGCAAAAAAAGAAGCTCCCTAGGGTTTCATGGACTTCATCTTTAAGATGTTATTTGCGGCAACTACACTCATTTATTAGATATAGTACTCATTCTAGATCTATTTTGTATAAGTCTCTCTACGCATAAGATTTTGGTCCTTCAAGACTCCAACATTACTAAATTAATTTTACAACAGAAACAAAAAAGAAAAACTTTCATCAAAATAGTAATGTTCGAAAACGTATATTCAATTCCAAAGGTTAACAATGTGCTTTTGATTATTTAAATATAGAGAATATTATGTATAACTCATGATAATCATCAAATATATATAGTAGTTTACGTATCATTTTAGATTTTATATATAGAATATTTCGGCAACTCAAAACTCGAAACACCTTACTTTACTTAAAACTACAGTAAAACAAGATCATACGACACTAAAGTACGTACATATACTTACCAGTGATAATTAAATGTTAGCAAATCTACAGGAGACTACAATAATTAAGCTAATTTTTTTTTCTAGATTTCTGTAAATGTACGTACGCACACAGCCACACAATAATATCATATACACATAACACATGCAATATTTAAAATTGACCTAGCTAAGAAATTAAAGTAGATAGAAATGAGCATGGTAATGCAATAATTATACCCATCATCTCCATGCATATATATGTCTTTACGTGTGTGTTTAATCACTTGTTTTCAGAATAATCATCAACTTGAAGGAGCATTTTCAAAGATAATAACAACAAATAAAAAAAAAACCATTGGGTCAGCCAATGATATTAGAATCATGCAAATGCTCCATTAGATCTTTTTTTTTTTTTCCATGCTCTTCTACTGTATATGAACATTAGTATGTATGTATGTTACTATATCATTATCTCATCTAGTTACTTAAAATTCAAGCAATTAACTAACTGATCACACAGTAGTAGTTATAAGATATTGTTCTGACGGTTAATTTATGTCATAGTTAGACTTTTAATACTCTATATATAGTATAACATATATTATAGCTGATGATCGTTGCAGAATTGACATGTTTAATGTTGACACCGTAACTAATTTGAATATTAGTTTATCATTCCCAATTAAAGATGGTTTTCTTCTTATATATGTAAATATTAATTCATGAAAACAAAGAGAATGTTTAAGTTTCTTTAAGTTGGCAAAGATGAAGAAGTGCCTGGAAACATAAATCATTTCTTATCTGAGCATATCAATATTGTTTTCCTTCGATTTCAAGTAAACAAGAAATATATCCTAGGACTACTTAATATCACCTAACTAGAAAATGAAAATAAATTAATTAATTAACCACAAATATAAAAAAAAATCCAAATTATTTTCTCAAACTAGTGAAAGTTTAATTTGGCTTGAAATATCCATTTATAATAACATATAATTAAGAGAAAACAAATGAAATACTTTTAAGGCCTAAACCTTTGCCTGCAAGAGTGGCAAGTGATCTCCAAGCAAGCCGTATCGATCTTCGTCATTGATCTTTCCTTCAACCTCTCTGCTCTCTCCACCTCCTCTCTCGCCTTCTGCCACATCACCCTGGTTACAATCCAAAACCATTAAACCAAACCAAACCAAACCGGAATTATTACTAGCTAGCTAGGTTGAGCTAGCTCTTTTAACTTAATTACCTAGCACGAGCAAACTCAGACTGAGCCATCTCCATCTCACGACGAGTCAACTCTCTAACCCTCTCGGCGTAAGCCTTCTCTATAGCCGCCAGCCTTATCTGCTCAGCCGCCTGCCACTTCAGCGCCTCCACACCACCACCGCTTGGATGCTCTTCAGCCGCAGTAGTGATCGAGCTGAGGCTGATGGACAGTTTGAGGTCAAGATCGTGGTGGATCATGGAGGACGAACGGTTGTTGTGGTTGTGGTGATGGTGGTGGTGGTGGTGGTCGGTTGATATAACAGTTGGTCGGTGTTTTCTCACCGGAGATTCAGTGGAAGGCAAAAGCTGAAGCTCTTTGTGATGATCTTGATGTTGTTGTTCAGCCATTTTTGTATTTTTTAGTTTGTTTTTTTTTTTGGGGATATTAAAAAAAAAAAGGCTGCACTTCTCAATAAGTGTGGGGGTGGCAATTACCAATCACTTTATATGTAAGCTGCTTCGTGTCTGTACACATATATATATATATATATATATATTTACCTCTACTTGTAATTACACTTATATCCCCTATTCGATTTTTGTACATATCTTTTTTCTTTGGTTACATTTTGATAATTAATCAGGTTTTATAGATTCCTCTAAGTTAACAAACGACCACCGTACCGCCATTATGTGAAATTTGTTGTCAAGTTTGGTTACATGATAAGACGAAATGATTTGATTGTACAACAATAATAATCTAAAGTTATGAATAAAAAGAACGTTTAAATGTATACGTAAAATAGATTCTAAAGTTTTATCGATCGAGTTACAAAATATATAGTCGCCAAAAATACAAAACTCAGATATGTTTTTACTATGAATTTCATGAAACCAACAAATGAACTAATCAAATATTATTTTTGTGAAGTAATATAACGTGTAAACGCAAACGTGAACGTTGTTTTTTTTTAACGTTTAAACGGAGGATAGAAAAAAATAGGTAAGGAGGTGCAGTGAGAAAAATCACCGGTAGAAGAAAAGACAGATCGAAGATGGGATATAACGGATCACGTTACTGAGAGCGAGGCTTTTTAAAGAAACCCTTTTTCACTTTTTTCATCATATCATATATCTCATTTTCTTATTTATATATATAGATATATGTTAATGTTACTCATTAAACTGGGGATATGAAAATGTGGATGTGGGTGTTGTGTAATAATTGGGGATGCACGTGGGTTAATGGGTTTCCAAAAAGCTAAAAACTCTCTACTAGCTCACTATGACTATGCTTATTAGTACGAATATTTCTATTCATTCTACTAAATTCTTCTTATAAAACACAATTTGCAAAGTATTGTTCTCTCTTTTTATCGGTTGAAAAGTAGAAACCATGATCACAAACCGGCAAAGACACATACAACGTTTCAAAATATATGATGCAAAACCATTTTAAGCAATATATCAATGTATTGATTTGATCAAAGTGATGCGAAAAACGTTTGTGAGTTTTATCTAATAAAGTGTTAGCCTTTTACGAATATACGAAGAAAAAACTTAACAGATTTCATATATATTACATGTGAGATTCTTATTAAGAAAGAAAGCAGTGTCACTTCTATTTTTTCATCAAAATTGTATCTACTTGTCAACAAAAGAAAACATCATTTGTAAGTTTAAGAACTATATAAAAAGAAAGTGCTATAAACTTCATCTGTTTTAGATAAACTTTTTTTTTGTAAACTTAAAATATACGGTCATTAAATACAAAGATTTAAAACTAAGAGGATCTAATTGCAAATTATATTGACCGATAGATCTTTACCTGTCCCGGGGATGTGGCGGGGATAATTAACTCTGTCATTGTTTTCCCGCTACATTTGTTCCGTTTGATAGATTAGAGTGAACAGAGAAGAAGAGCCAAAGCCCAAAGCTAAGATTTTTGAAGGATAAGTTTCTCTAAAAGCTCCTATGAACTCTCGAGAACTCGCACTCGTCTCTACCTCTGCAATCTTCGGTGCTTTGGTTTCAGCTCTAGCGTTTCGCTTCTTCTCTCCAAACCCTAAATCCCGAAGAGTTGGTATTTCCACCGAAATCGCCGCAATTTCCAGAAAGTTTCAGTCTCTAGATCCTTTCAGCCCTCTGAAACGAAAAGGGTTTGTCACAATTCCATTAATTTCTTCGATTTTGCTCGAAAGTTTCCAACTTTTAGAAAATCACGAGTTGAGAATTTTCTTTGGGGTTTTAAAGTTCGTATTTTTTTTTTTTGGTTTTATTGTTGTGAAAACAGATACTTATCATGGGATGATTATTTCATGGCGATTGCATTCCTTTCTGCAGAACGATCAAAGGATCCTAACAGGCAGGTAAATTTTCTTATTGGGATGAACAAAATTTTGTATCCAAACAGTCCCGTGTGATTTCTTTGAGTTTCAACTAGGTAGTTCCTAGATATTAGGGGTTAGATGAGAATATGTTTGCTTTAATGGAAACTTTTAGCTAAGTTCTAGCCAGATTTCAGAGTTGTTTTTGAGCTTGATGTTGCAATGATTTACTGGATACATTCGTGTTTTGATATCTTTGTTTAAAGTATGGACTTTAAGGTCTTAACGAGTAGAAGTTTAGAACTAGGATCTAGGAGTTTGACTTAAGATTCACAAAATTCGAGACTTAATTTTACTGACCAAGTCTTCCTTTTGTGACATTTTCATATCCTTTTTCTAACGGATTAATGTTTCTGCAGGTTGGTGCATGTTTAGTGAGCCAAAATGGTGTGATTCTGGGTAAGATAATGGATCACACATGTCTCTTGATCTTTTTTGAACAATATGAAATGTGGTTGTTTAGTTTCATTTCATGCTCTCATTCAAAGTTGTGGTCATTCTAGCAATCTAGTGCAAGCGAGACAGAGATAAACAATGCTAAAAGAACTTTCATCTTTCATTTAGGGATTGGCTATAATGGTTTTCCAAGAGGCTGCTCAGATGATAGACTTCCTTGGGCTAAGGTATTACATTCATCTTAATCCAAGAAAAAGATACAGAAGTTGATTGTCTATTGAAACTTATTTAAATTGCGTTCAAGGTAGTCACTAAACTACTAGTGTGGGTAATAATGGGTGCAAGAAAAGGAACAATGTTCTGGTAAAGAAATGAACCTCTCGAGATAATGCGAGTAATTTTATCCCCTAGATTTACTTTGGATCATAATTTGCTCATGCCAATTTCGCAGAAATCGAAAACTGGGGACCCATTGGAGACGAAGTACCCGTAAGTACTAATCTCAATGATGCAAAATACAGCTAAACCTTGTATATATGTTTTGCTAGTATTGTGCACACATTCATTTAGCAATCTGTAATACAGTGAGATGTTACAGTTCTCATTCGTTTTGCTCATTTATAAGCTCTGGTGTTTATTATATTCTGACTTTGTAGATATGTTTGTCACGCTGAAGTTAATGCCATACTAAACACAAACCATGCATCTGCAGCTGGCCAGGTTTGTTTCTTATAAACTCGAATATGAAACATAATTTGATTTTCAGAATCTGCTATCCGTGGTCTCTGCTGCGGTTTCTGTTCCATAATATTTTAGTGGGATGGTTAATTTGAGTTTGTTTGTGCTCCTCTAATGTCTTGCAGAAGCTTTATGTGACCATGTTCCCATGCAATGAATGTGCAAAGATTATTATACAGGTATGTTCTTCGGACGATTTGGATTAATTTGTCAAATTTGGATCCTAATACCAGAGTAACATGTCTTCAGCTATCCTGTCATTTTGATATCGAGCACAATGATCTATCTAGACCGATTAATCAGTCTAATGCAAGTAGATCATCAGTCACATGGACTTTTCATTTTGGTTTTCGTTCTTGCAGTCTGGTGTTGCTGAGGTAATTTACTTTGTGGAAAAGAGACTAAATGACTCAGATGTTGCTTATGTAGCCTCTCACAAGCTCTTATCTCTGGCCAATATCAAAGTAACTAAAGCCTCTTGAATTGTCATCTCATTTTAATACAGTGACTGTAATGTTTTTGTGTCTAAATCTGTCCTAAACAAAAAATATTTCAGGTTAGGAAACATCAACCGGAGATGGATCAGATCTTGATCAAGTTTGAAGAACACTTACTCCAACCAGACACCTAATTGTTCCAATTCAAATTGTAGGACCAAATCCGAGAATCTGAACATTTACTGTATTTCAAACGTATTCACTCAAAGACGGGATCTTTCTTCTTTTATTTTTTCTGTTTGAACGTTGATAATACAAATTCAAGAACTTCGGCACAAACAGACAGAAGCATAACAAAATCAAGGACAATTTACACAAGAACGACACTATGTTGTCAAACTCGGTAGTTTTGGGGAAGAGGGATAACACCGTCAAAGAAATCCCCAAAATAGCCAGACGGCTCATGAACAAGTCTTGCGATGATGTCTCGGAGAGTGATGAGACCTTCGAGGTTACCAGAATCATCCACCACATATATCCTATGGATCTTCTCAGCGTCTAACATCAAGATCAGTTCCTTTAGTGTATGGTTCTTTGTGCAAGCGATCACACCGCTCATGATAGGAGCTGATGTATCCCCCTGTTTCTCCAAATGCTCTCTAACAGCTGCTAAGAAGTTCTTTGTTGTGATTGACCTAATAACATCAGTAGAAATCATTGAAGATTGACAATGCAGCGAAACTTTGTATATATTTCAAGGATTTATGAAGTATTAACCTGTAGTCATGGTAGATCTCTGGTGCAGTGAGGAGAAAGTGAACATCTCTAAGGCTTATGTTACCTACTGGCTTCTCACTTGTCCTTTCAATGACAGGTATGCCTCCGATTCTTTTTCTCCTCATCAGCTTGAACGCCTGAAGAACTGGTTCGTCCTCGTATATCTGAAATAGAAATCATGATCTGTTAGAATTTAGAAGATGAACTCAATGGTGATATGAATAAGATTACACACTGACCTTTATGATATGATCCTTTGACATAATGGGAAGACCAACTTCAGAGAGAGTTTTGATTCCCCAATCCTCAAACCAGTGAAGCCCTGCGCATTCTGCCAGCATATGGATAACTGCTGATTGTGTAATTATGTTCTCGATCTTTGCTACACCTAAATCAACCACCGGGATGCTCTTCATTTTGTATTTAGAAAGAAGTAACAGCATGGTTAGAAAGGAGTTCTCCTTCTGCAGAGCCAGAAATGGTGCCCATCGGAATGTTCCAGAGATATCTCGAACCTGTTAGCGAGAATATTCAATGCATTTCAGAAGCCGTAATCCGGGAAAAAATCTATGAAACAAGTAAAACTTAGGTTCTATCCCCTTAACAAAGGTACAAGCCTCACCTTAGTATTCTTGTATAGCTCTGAAGAAGTAAGGACCTCAAAGAAGTTTCCAGAAGTTATTGCTGAATCTCCATTATCTAGAACATCAGCGGTGAAATCATGAGAAAATCCATTTGAAGCCGCTACAGCAGGACTCCTTGGAGATGGAGGCTCCAACTGTTTTTTAAAGTAGACAAGAAAAGCAAAGATATGAACATAATAGGTCGCTTCTCATATTTTCTTCACAAGAATGATAAAAAAAAAGGCGAAGGTTAAAAGGGAAGAACAGTTACCTGATGCAAAAGCCAGACAACAATGCCTGGAAACTCTACAATACCGATGTAGCGATCAATCCAACTGGCGTCTTCAGGGGCATCAACATCAACTACAGGCGCGCTCAAGACCTTGAATTTCGATAGTGTCTGAACAGCTTCAGCCAAACTTGTGTCTGATCTTATCTCGATGTCTAGAATAGAGAGAAACCACAAAGAAATAGTTGAGACAGCAAAACTGAAAATATGCAACATGTAAAATTTTCAAGGGAAAGAGATACAACAAGTCTTATTTTCTGGTACATCAGAATCATACACCACAAGAAGGACTAAGAAACTATAAAAATCAACAACAACTAGTTCTGATTCCTTAATTGAACTGATTCAAGTATCCTACAAGCTGGGTTGATTTCAAAATTCTGACTTCTGATACTTTCTATAATTGAAATTTCAATCCAGACCACATATCTCAACTAATAATTTCCATAGATGAGTCAACCATCAAAATCCCAAACATGAACATGATCATCCTCAAAATTCGAACAATAAAGCTCGGTTCATGGATCAAAAGGCCGCATACCTTGAGAATCAGAAGAGAGAGGGAACGCAGAGACGGGGATGCTCTCGAAGCAAGCGTTGAGCTTCTCGTTAGGGCTGAGCTGTGGTTTCTGCTCATCCCAGAGATCTTCCACACGCATCCCTAGCTTAGCTTCCGGACTCGACACGTCACTCCGATGACTCAAGCTCTCGCTTCTCATTATCTTTATCTCCGGCACAGCCGCCATCTTTTTTTTTCCGGGTAAGTCAAAACAGTGAAAAAGGTCCCGTCTTTATTCTCCGGTAAACTCAAAAGAAATATCCTCTCTTTTATTGTTTTTGTCCGTCAGAAGTTTTCTACAATTAGATCTTTTCTACTGAGAACTATAGAGATTGAAATATACACACACCATAGTAGAGATCTCGAAGCAGAGAGAGACAAAATTCAAAAACCCCGTTGTCTTTAAATCTTACGAATAAAGCCTATATGTTTTCAATTGATCAAAACCATCCCCAGATTTTCGGTTTTATTTTAAAAGATTGGGGGTTATGTTGAAACAAAATGGAACTCATTGTGAGTTGTTATAAATTGATGTATTTGGTGGTTAGTGACAATTTAGTGTAAAGTGTAGCCTGTGACTGTATGTACCCTACTCCTTCGAGTAGACTAAAGATCGTAGCCGTTCGTGGAAGGGAGTAGCGGAGATCAATTTGGGTGTTGTTGGTCGTATAAAAAGCGATAGGGCAATGATTAAAATAATATAAGAGGAATGAATAATAAATCTCCATTTGTTGAAGTGTCGTACTTATCGTTATCTTTTTATAATTTTATATACTCGTGTAAATTCGATTTTATATTATTAGAAAACCCCCCACAAAAAATAGCAACCGACCTTGGAAATGGATAACTATCAGTATTTTTTTCTTTTCTTTTATATCACTCGGCCAGATTTACAAAAATTTAGTACTTCTATAATACTTACTAGTGATGGACCCGCACGTACGTGCGGGATTATTTTTACAAAATTACGATTTTTTATGTAGATGCTATTTTGGTAAAATTTTGTTTTATGAGTTTATTTGATAAACTATATATAGACATATAGTTGTAAAATATAGATATTGTATTACATAATAAAATTTTAAAATTGTAATTTTAAAATAATTTAAATGAAAATAATAAGTGATATTACATGTTTATTTTTTAATTTAATCAAAACATTTCTAACTGCTTGCTTAGATATGTTAAATCGGATTTGGGTTTGGCTTTAGTTTGAATTGTTTTATGTGTAGTTTAGAATTGAAAACTCGTCATGTCCCTTTCTGTCTCGTCCTGACCCGTCCCGTCCCACCCCGTCCCGTCCCGTCCCGTCTTCTATCTGTCATAAAATTTCTGTCTCGTAATCGTTTCTTTTTAAAACATAATCATTTGCCAATGTTTATTATAAGAAACTTGGTAAAAGATTTATACAGGATACTCGTATTCCTCGTTTAAATATTCCTTATTCGATTTTTAATTTTATTGATCTTTCAGTTTCATCTTTATTTCTCATTAATTTCTTCAATTCAAAGATTCATGTTTTAGCCTTTTTGTTTTCTAAAGATTTAGCTATTTCTATTTTTTTTAATACATGGATTTATTGTAGTTTTGTTATCCGAAGTATACGTTATCTTCTTATACCTGTCATTTCATGTCCAAATATTTGAAATAAATAGGAAAGTGTAAATTAAACTTACCAATTTAAATTACATGTCCCCGTATCGTACTCGTAGTTTTATATTTGAAAGTTGAAAGTGAATTTAACTCTATGACCGTGTCTCATAACAATTCTAATCATGTTTTATTTTTTTTTATGAGAAACAATTCAGATAATGTTTGTTTTCGAATTATATGTTCCCGTATCGTATCCATTCCTATAAGTTTATATATTTTTTAAATAAATAACACCATTTACATGTAACTAAATATAATTTTAATATATGTAAAATTTCATATAATCGTCCAAAAGTAGAGATTATACGTCCCAAAGTTGAATTTTGTTCAATATTTTGAGATTTTGAGAATTAAATATAACTACCAATTTTTTTTATTTCAACCGGTTATCCAAAACTTATATATCATCTTTGTCAATGATAGTTTAAAATTGTACGTATATGTGAGATAATGTTTGTAGATATTTATTTATTATATCATTTATATCATACCAATTTGATATTTTATTTGTTTTTAATTAGATTAAATCATGAAAAATATAATCCATTTATTATTTAAAAATTGGTAATAAGTCGTTAAAATCATTTAAATATGATACATCCACTTGTTATTTAGTTTTAATCTTTATAGAAATTTTATATGTTTATAATCTCAAAATGTAGTTTATGATTTGATAAAACAATTATTTAATATTTGATAATAGTAATGATATGCAAATTGTCAATGGATGAAGATTTATTTTGTTAAGATTGTGTGAAATTAATAAGAAAAAAGAAGTTTAGAATAATCATTAACTAACTGTTTGACCAAATAAAAATCATTAACTAATTGAATTAATGATAAATTTTGTAGATATCATTTGTGCTATAATTGCTAGATTGATTTTTGAATATGAATATTTTTAAGAGAATTTTGAGAAATACCTCTTTTGGTGTACCCTTTTTAAAAATACCCTCTTTTCATGAAAAATTATAAAATTTTATATGGTTGATAAGGTACATCAAGATCATCATTACTACTGGGAGACTAAATCCAAATATTTAGAAGGTTTTGAAAGGTTTTAAACGACATTTATATGGTTTTTATAAGGTTTTTAAAAGGTTTACATAGTTTTTATAAGCTTTTTATATGATTTTTAAAAGGTATTTATACGGTACTTATGAAATATATATATAAATTTACACACATGTAAATATAATTTGTGTCTATAAATATAAGTTTATACATATTTTTCTGATAAATTTCAAATTTTATTGTGAGTTTTTGATAAAATTAGAAAGAGAAGTATTTTTAAAAAGTGGTATTGGAAAATGGGTATTTTTGAAATTCCCCCTTTAATATGTGAAAATAAGAAATTTATGTGATTTAGAATGTTTATTCGCATGATTTTAGCAAACAAATATTTAATTATTTATTTATTTAAATTTTATTTATATTTTAAAATTATATAATTTTTTAAAATTTGATGATATGATCAGT